CTTATTAATAAACATATATTGAATAAACACCGTTTCTTTTTACTATGGGAAGGCCATGCTTTGACACGAATGGGCCGGCTCGACCGAAGTGATACCACGGCCTCACTGAAAACCGACGTGAAACTACTTGCGTTGTGTTTGTGAGTGAGGTTACCGGAGGCCCAAAAACCCCTGCATCGCCAACGATCCTCAAATTCATATTTCACAAAAGGCCGGTGACGTATTTAAAACGCCTGGTGTATTCCAGATGACCATGGGCGACGCCGATTGCTTACCATCAGGTGTTCCATCTGCTCGTTTACCGACTTATCCCATAATAAAACTTTTTACATCAAAGCAAAATGTTTAAAAGAAAACTTATATACACCACATGTAAGTACTTAATACTTTATTAATATCGCAACCTAACTACTCTATTATTTCTATTATTTCCTATGAACATAATTTAAAATCACACGTTTTCTTCTACGAAGGGATAGGTATACTGTGGTGGAATATTAACTTTAGTAAGATTTTTTGTATTAGTTCCATGTATTATGACCCGAACGTATTTTCATCGTACGATGGCTGCAATTTCAGACAATATGCATGCGATTTTTTCATTAATACGAAATGGAAATTAAACCTAAGACCAGACACGACAACGAGGTTATTTATGAGTTTAAATTAAAAAATATTACGATTTATGACAAACAACATGTCGTAGGCGCGTAGTAATCTCGTAGCAAGAACTCGTAGCAACATTTTGGGCTTTATAGTTTGAACATAATTTTAGTCGTTATAAGTTTATAATTACTTGACTCATTGGTCTAGTCTAGACAAAATTTTGTATGCCGCACAAAAAGTTCGGACTCGATTCCCGGATTAGACAAAATGTTTTTTTCTTTTAGGATTTACGAGAATTTCTCAGTAACAACATAGAGTCTGGTAATGTGGATCCAATCTTATTTGGAACCTATAACATATGTGGTTAAAAATGGGTATTACATTTATACATGCCTACTATTTCAAGGATAAAATGACGTGATGTTCCTATGTTAATATAAACTGTAGATACGTAACAAGTTGCTGCTTTACATTGTATAAATATTTTGTTTGTAGGTATAGTTTATTCTCCATTATAGGGTAGGTAGAGGAGCAGAATGCTTGTAAGTTTTTGCTAAATATATTTTGCACTTGCCCTGTGTAAGTAGCACCCCACGTAGGTACCGTACGTTTGTGACAACTACCTAGTCCCCAAAAGGCCGGTACGCAATTATGGTCTAGTGTTTCAGGAGTCCATGGGCGGCGTCGATTGCTTACCATCACTACCATCATATGATCCGCCTGCTCGTTTACCGGTTTATTTCATAAAAAATGTAATAGGTACTTAGTATTACATGAACATTTCTCTTTCTTTTTTCAAAACGTTGTAGTTAATTAATAATCGTAGAACTGGCTAAAAATACCTACCTACTGGTACTGGTACCTAATGGTGATATTTCATTCCATTTCATGATAATTATTAGATATGGCCTTTGGTACAGATTTAGAATAACTGTTATTAAAAAAAAAACTTTAAAAAACTTTGTATATTACCTTTTTTTACTCTTTTTCTCGTGTGCTATTGGCGCGGTTATAAACGCAACGACAATTTGTCGTCCAAATAAGGAAATGTTACGTGCAGGAATTGAACCTGCGATACACTACGCGGCACCTTGTCTCCTAGCCTCTGCTCTATCCGTAACGAAGCACCTACATACCATAATCATCACTTAATCACTAACAATAAAAATCATCACAATGTTGGTACTCTACTACATGTGGCATTTCCAACATTAATCGGTTTCATTTCTTCAGGTTGCCTTGGCATACACTGCCGTAACATGTAATATCTAACCAAAAAGTACCCAGTATAAGGTAATATGCTGGCCAAGACTCCTTGCAGTTGCACGGCAGTAGCTCTTATGGCTGCTGGATTAGACAACAGACTGCAAAGGACAAAGGACAATATTAAACTGTCAAACACCAAGCGGTCACCGGTGACCGCGACCTATTGTTCTTTAATTGTGTCTATAAAACCGGTACTCGACGAGTTAAACAATACCACATAAATTAAATGTTAAAATATTATGTATATTAAACACACATATAAATAATTATTATTATATAAAAAATTAAAATCAGTATTTATTATAACTAATGACTAACATTCGTGTCGTTGTATAGTTTTACAATTTTATCGCCATCTACCGACCGTTTTCTAAATTATAGCTAGTGTGAAAGTGTAGCACGCTCCGGATAACAAATGGCTTTACATAGATGGCGTTGTTGCATAAATTATCTTTAAGTTGGAACCCCAAACCCATTATCGATCGGATCTTTAAGTTACACTTTACAACATAAAACTAAAATGTTGATAATTATGATAATGATAAAAAGAATTAAAATTAAATATTTTGTGGAACGAGTTTTGCTAAGAGATTGCTAGGCGCCTACGAGGACACGCGTTGTTTGTTGTTTTTTATTGTTTTAGTGTTCCTACCTATGGTTGTTTAATACCTACCTATGTCGTTATTTGATTTATTTCATCTTGTAATAATATTAGTACTTAATTTAAATGAAAACAAATCTTACATCCATCATGGTAAGGTAGGTACTATAGGTACTAAGAACTTCCATGTACTACGAACTTCCACGAACATTTGCAGGTCGTTGGATAAAGTTGGATATTAAAGCGGCATATTGCCGTATTTTTTTTATTAGTGCCATTAAAGTAGGAGGCATAAGGCAGTAAGTATCATCATCGGAGAGAGTAGTTATATTTGGGCTCGCTGCCATTGCAGCCGTAAGTACCCTCTTTGAGGAGTGGCTTGAGAGACACTACGGCGTCCTCACCTACCGCCTGACGCAGGTCTTCATCGGACATGGAAGTTTCGGGAGGTATCTGTGTCTGATGGGGCGGGAGGAAACGCCCGGGTATCATCACTGCGAGGACCGCCTCGAGGACACGGTGGAACACACAGTGGGAGAATGCCCTGCGTGAGCTGAGCACCGCCGTGCCCTCAGGGACGTGATCAGCGATGGCGACCACTCGCATCCGGCCCTAGTGCGGGTCATGATGCGGAGCGAGGGGGGATTCCGTCTCCTCCTTTTGCGAAACAGTCATGCTAGCCAAGGAGCCAGCCATCGCGAAGGACACTCTGGGCGTCGGGGATCGCGGAGAACCTAACGTTGTAATGGGCTCCGGCTCGAAGCGCAGGAGTAGGAACGGGGTGGTTTTTAGTCAGTAAGTCTGACACTCCCTCCCGCCTCACCCAGGCGGGAGAAGTCATTCGATGATTTTCACCCCAAAAAAAAAAAGAGGGTAGTATATATAGAATAATATAATATTGCTAAATATTATATTATTCAATCGCCATCACCGTCACGCGTTTTAAAAAAATTATATAAGTATATGTACTTATCTACACGAACAACTTATAATCTATATATACTTATAATAAATCTGTAGAGAGGTCAATTCTGTACATAAAATATATTTAAAAAATAACTATCAAGGGGTGGTTAGGGATCGCTACTGATGCCAAAAATGCAATCAGTAAAATTTTTGTCTGTCTGTCTGTCTGTCTGTATGTTCGTTATGGAAACAAAAACTACTCGATGGATTTTAACGAAAGGCACAATTATTCTTCATACTCTTGGGCAGGTTATAGTATACTTTTCATTACGCTACGATCAATAGGAGCAGAGCAGTGAAGGGAAATATTGGGAAAACGGGAGAAGTTACTCCATTTTTTAAGCTTCCGTCGCGTGTGCAGGCTTATAGGTTGAAGCTGCATAGAAATCATGTATGACGGAATTCTCCTTAAAATTATATTAATTCTAAAAATTATATATATAGGTAGATTATGGTCTGAAGTGATACATAGGCATTTTACCCCTGGGATCGCGGGCGAAGCCGCTGGCAGAAGCTAGTGTGTAATACGAATCTAAAAATACGCCATTAAAAAGACCACGAATTTTTACAGTGTTACAATTAATGAATTAATTATATGGGTGTTTTATGGCTACAATGTTCAATTATCTCCTCATAAAGTCGTTACTAAGTTAGTAAGTACCTACATTAGACCATCAATGACAAATTATTAAGAAGTAGGTAATAAAGAGATGAGCAAGAATAATTATGATAACGCCCTAATAGAATAAGTAATACAGGATTTAAACGAAACGTTTCCGATAAAAACGCCGAGAGGGTCACCTCTCGTCGGTTTGGGAAATGTATTCTTAATATTATTCAATATTAATTAATTAGTAATTAAATACCACGTCGACGATACATGATAACATGAATTTTTTATGTGTATGGCAACGCATGGACTCTACCGGCAACTTTTTCTAATTTGTGGCATTTATTTATGACGTCATTTGCAGTAATACCATATTTTAAAAAACTTCCCTAAATTTGGGGTGATTTCTTCCAACTTGAAGCGTGGGGTAAAATTATTGATCGACGTTAAATATTTTTTCACTTAACCTGTTTGAACACTAAATAGTGCTTTATTCTTTTTTATTTTGTGCACTATATAAATAATATATAGTCATTATTCCTTTTGAATAGTGATATAGTATAAATTAAATTTTACGACAGAAAATATATAATAATACTAGAAGATAGAGAAGTTTTTATACTATTGTTAAAACATTCTTGACTCAACATTCCATTGTATTTCGACAAAAGTTTATGGAGAACACGTCATTATCATGTGGCAACATTTACTGTTCAGGGGAGTTCTTAACTTCTCTCTTACTATTTAGTCTATGGCATTGGCGCTGAACTCAGTGATAAGCTCTGTGCTCGCTCAGTGTTCTACTGATTGTTTACGGTGTCGGGTCTGTCGCTAGCGGTAGTAATTGTTCGCGTGGGGTTTAATTTATTTGGAAATTGCATTCCATCGAATAAATAAGTGTTCCGTGTAGTATATAACATTTCTTTTACTGTGAATTTATAAAAAGCAAATATGTCAGCAGATAATATTGAAAAGTTGTACCAAAATTATGGTATTTTAGCCGACGCTAAAGATGACATCTCTAAGGTAACCTATTTTTTCACACCGTGATATTGTTTAATCTAGATTATTTGTGTAATCTATTGAATATAATTGAAACATTTTTGTTTTTATCCCTTTAGCATGAAAAAGAATACTTGGAAATATTGGCGGCGGTGAAGGGGTCGGATAAGGAAAAACGGTTGGCATCACAATTCATTGCGAAATTTTTCAACAGCTTTCCTAATCTCGCCGATCAAGCTATTGAAGCTCAATTCGACCTGTGTGAGGATGACGATGTTGCCGTAAGTATCCAGTTTAATACCTGCACATTATTTGCAGACTATTAAAAATCCACAATTATACTCAACAATCATTATCATCACTCATTCCAGATCCGGAAACAAGCTATCAAGGACTTACCTACGTTGTGTAAAGACCATAAGGAACATACACAAAGAATTGCTGATATCCTAGCTCAACTTTTACAGTCTGAGGATACTACAGAGATCAATGTAGTGACTAGTTCGTTACTTACTATTCTGAAGATAGACCCAAAAGGTGCACTTACGGGTATGTTCTCTCAAATACACCAGAATGCAGACAGTGAAGTAACTAATGAGGTTGTAAGGGAAAGATGTATTAAATTCTTGGCATCTAAAGTAAAGCAACTTGGACGTGAAGTAATTACGAAGGAAGCTGAAGACTTGATTGTTGCTGAATGCAAGAAACTTTTGGAGGTGAGTTATTTAAACCTATTTGATTGATACAAAAGGAAGGAAAATCTATAAAAGAGATGCGTGGAAGGAGGGTATGGGAAGACTTTGCCTTGCGGTGGGATGGCCACCGACAATAAAAAACAATTTTTGATTGATGAACTTCTTTGCTAGGTTATGTTGTAGAAGCTCTTGTGAAGCCTGAGTATTACAACATAAATAATACCATTTTCATACGTTTTTTAGTTTTATTGATAGCATGTTGGTTTCCTAGCATGTGTTAAATTCTCTTTAACCCACTTTTCAAAAGGAGGGTTATGTTTTTATTAGTTCCAATTAGAAATACATGGCTGCCTCATTAATAAAATACCACATGTAATTGACTGGCCATTAAAATTGCATATAGCAGTAAGGCTTCACCACAGAACAAACTGATCTATTTAGGTAATAGTGTACTTAAAAACCTCTTTTAATGAAGTTATCATTGTAATCTGTAATTTAGATCAAGTTAACCCTATTTTACTGATTGTAGATCTGAAACTCGTTAAAATAACAAACTTATTAAACATGTTCCTTGTCTAATCAATTATTACATTAACATGATAATGGCAACATCATTATTAGCCCACAAGTGCCTACTGCCGACCAAAGGCTCCATAAAATGTATTATTTTATTAAAAATTTTATATTGTTTCAGTTGCAAGATGTTGTCGCTGAAGAATTTGAGCATATTATGGAGTTATTGACATGGTCAAAGTTAGGGAAGACACCTGCAGGGAAAAAGGAACTAGTACAGATAGTTGCTGCTCTTGCATTCACTCCTGATGACTGGCATCCAGAGGATCCTGAATATGTGGAACGAGTTATCCAGTGCACACAACATGCTTTGCCATTGTTCTCGGTAAGATTTTTCTCCTTTTACTTTATACCACACTGCCATCTGCTGACGGTTATTTGTACATGTGTATGTAAATAAGGTCAATAAATGACGTCTGTTTGTTATATAAAACACATTTAGTTACCTAAAATGTGATTATTTTATTGTTATCTCTTATTGATTGAATAATTTAAAAACTTCTCTTTCTTCCCAGGCATTAGTGGATTCTACTCAGTTTGTCAACTTTTTCTGCGACCACATACTGCTAGGTTGGGACAATATTACCACACCAGAAGGCATGGACCCAAAACTAGAACTGTTGAAGATATTTGCCGAGATCACAGAACATTGTGGTGAACTTGAAAATCCACCAAAGAAAATTGATGCAGTTTATGAATTGCTAATGGTAAGTTGCACCGCCTTTACTTAATCAAAAACTGACACTATTTGAATGTTGCAGATATGGTTTACTTATTTATTTCCTTTTTTTGCAGAAATACTTGCCAGAAGCACCAATTGAGAATGAAGTGGCTGAGGGTGAAAAATCAGAAGACAAGCCAGAAGACTCGAAAACAGCGCCATTACTACAATTTTCTCATGTTGAATGCGCATTATTTGCCCTGCATTCATTATGCCGTAAGGCTCCGGAAGCTCTAACTACAGATGCTGCGAAAATTAAGGCATTGCGCCTGCGCCTACAATACACCGCGCGACTTACTCAAGGATACATAAAGAAATTGAAGGAAGTTACTCAGGTATGTATTGACAATTCCTAAAGCGACTTCTATTGTAATAATTACTTCGGAACTGTCTCCTATGGGGAAGACAATTATTAATTCCATCTTCTTTCAACAATCTACTTATTATGATTTAGACCTTTAAATTGTTTAACAGCTCTTAACCAATTATTTTATTTTTCAGGGCCAAAAAGGTGAAGATGCCAACTCGGAAGAAAACAAGCTCAAAATAGCCGCGTTAAAGACTACTTCAAACATCAACACACTCATAAGAGATCTATTCCGTACTCCACCAAGCTTCAAGAGCAAAGTTCAATTGTCATTCCATACCAAGAAAGTTGATAAAGAGGTACTTACATAATTATATTTATTTACATAATATTTAAATTGTGTTGCAGTGTTGTATGAATAATTTGTAATTGATTTTAATTAACAACATGTTAATTTTTTTTAGGAGAAACAAACTGCTGACCCAGAGACTACAAAACAATCGCCAGGACAAAAACGACACCGTCCGATTACCTTTGATAATGACAATGAAAAAGAATCGCCCGAGAAGAGATCGCGTAGTGGAGACAGGAATGTCAAAATGTACACCCCACCTTCTGGAAAATACAGCTCAAGGCTGAACAATAACGGAAGATTCTCTGGGAATAATTCTGGCGGAAGGGGAGGCCGAGGGGGTTATGGTAGACGCGACTTCAGGAACAATGGAGCACCTTTCCGAAGGCGAAACAACTATTAAATTTCGCAATTTCGGAAGAATGCATACATAATGACAATGATTTGAAGAAGTTAAATTGATATAGTCACTTAGTCACTCATAGTCCTTGCTCCATTTTAGTACAAACCTTGAGAATCAAAATATCCGAATTGTTGCAATAGGGGAACCAAAACCAACAGTGTTCTCTTGCAACATTGAACAGGGATTTGTAGATATGGGGTAGCAGTGGAGTTATTCTATGCAGATATTTTGTTGTGATTGTTTAGGTTGAGTTCCACCGATTTTATTCCATTACATGTCCAAATTGTGGGAAGCACATTTTCATAGTTTGATACCTACAAATTTTCTTTTTGTTGACATCATTTAGTTTAGCTGTGTGGCTGGAAGACGTTCGTTAGAGTAGATATTGAAAGGTTTTGTTTATTTTTCAAGAGGAGCAGCCAATATTTTTATTTTTAATCTAGCGGCGATGGCGGATAGTATTTGGGTTTCAGTAGTCGCCTCAATATTTTCCTGTAATTAAGCAGCATTGTAAGTAATAAATTGTAATTGTAATAATAATTAATTTAGCAGTCGTGTCTTATAACAGCAACTGATTAGTATTAGATGAATCATCACTTGACTTGGTAAGTATTAGAATTAATGTAGAGATAATTTTCATTGACGAGATTCCGGAGACTACACTAGGACTATTTAATGCTGACGTCGTGTTGGGCGCCGTAATTCTGTAAGTATCTACAATTACTATTTATTAAGATAATTTTTGTCTTATAGCCGGGAGGGTGCAGAAGTAGAAGCAAGTTTCCACCACATACTTCGATTTTACTCCAGATTTTTGTTGCAACTTCTTTATGAGGAATAAGAAGATTTTATGAAGGTTTTGATGATTGCAGAATACTTATGGAATTTTCTACGAGAATAAAACATTTAATACAATTACTATTTTATTTACATAACCCGAAGCCCTTACCTAATTCACATATAAATAACACTAATCATGTATATACCTATCAAAAGTTAAATCAATAAAATATACATCTACAGACGCAAGTAATTATTTTTGTTCCGACATCCCAAAACGAAAAGCTAGTCCAAAAATATGTAGGTACCGATCTCAAAATTAAGTAACTGTAAAATCGGGTGAATATGGTATGAGCGGCGAAAAGGGACGAGAAGTGAATCGATAGGTATTATGATCAATTTCCTTATATTTACTCACCCCTCTTCTGTCCCTATTCAACGGTATTCGGTTAAAGTACTAGATTTATTTGTAAACTGGGTTCAAATGTATCAAAACTGCACAACACCCACTTTGCGAACCATGCAGTCATACATTAACAGAGCATCATTATTAATTATACCCTCAAATCTTGTTACCTAAACTTGACAACAAGTTATTTTTATTACTCTCATGAATGTGTAAACAAATACAATTTCACAGCGCACCCTAACCCCGTACAACTATTGTCGGAACACTGGGAATTGAGTCTGCACCTCAGCCGGCCTCTTTTTTGGTCTTGCCTATCTTGAGTTGTTTGTAATTGTTATATATGGACATAGTCATTCCGTGGTCAACATATACCAGTACGTTTATTTATCCATGAAACATAATTATGCAGAGGCATAGAATGAGCTTTCTGGTAGCTGAATAGAATTCTTTAATTATGACACAACTAAGACTTATTTTTTTCATGAAAAAATATCCAATGACTTCTCCTGCCCGTGTGAGTCGAAATGAGCGTCAGTCTGACGCTATCTTACTGATTATAAACCACCCCATTCCTACTCCTGCACTTCGAGCCAGAACCCCGGCAACCTGATAAGTCTTCTGCGGCTAAACTAGGAAATACCTACGAAATTGAAACCTTTTAACCCAAATACTAATTATTGTATAGGAAGGGATATGAAGATGAACTGATAAAATTAAACAACAAAATGTTATTTCCTTATTGCTTTTTTATTAATACAACAATATGCTAAAACTTACAAGCTAATAAATAATACCATAATATAAAAAAGTAAGAAAGAAAAGTCAATTGTCTTATCTCATGTTGTCAACAACATTACACATGATACGATCAAGTTCGTAACAAGGATCCTGATTTGAGACATCATTTGTACTGCAGTCCATTTGTTCCAGAATTTCTACAGGCACCTTAAAGTTTGCTTCAATTTCATTCTGATCTGGTAAACTTTGCAATGCATTCTGCAATATGTCTTGTACTTTGTCCAAGTGTTTCTTAAACCTGAAGTTAAATTACATCAATATTTAATAATAGTATAAAAATGAAACCCGTTTCCCATTGCCATGCCATAACTTGAGAATGGCGAGACTGATTTGGCTGATTTTTTTTTGTTGTGTTTATTGTCAGAAGATTCTTATGACCGAAAAACATCCTGAAAATCCTATGGGAACGGGAGAAAAAGGCATTGAGTGTACAAAGTTGCGGGCAGAAGCTAGTATTTAATAACTTATATTGAAAATAGAAGAAGAAAGTTGGGTTAATGAGTGACATTATAACAATATCTAATCTTTTTGCTATTTTTAATGGTTCAGCTAACTTTTTTCCAAAGACAATATAGCATTTACAAATTTATATAATGTAACAAGAATACATTATACCTTGTGGCAGTTTCAACCCGTTGACGTTTCTGCAATTCCATCATCACTCTCAATGTTTCACGAGCTTGGTGTGGTCTAAACTCATTTAGCAAGTGATGAATGTGGATAAACAATAAACTCAGATCTTCAACCTTTTCAGCTCTTTTGGGAGAATCAGGACAATGAACCAACAAATCTAATAAATCTAGAAAATTAACAAGTAAAGAATGGTTTAACTTCTTTAGTTCTCTTCTTCTTTCAAAGTGCATAGGATATAATCGTCGAAATCCCTGAAATCATAAAGTACCAAAAATTTACTCATAATGCTTTTAAGTTGCTGATAATAATAATTCATAATGATAAATGCATGCAAATTGTTACCTGGCTTTCCAATGACCTGATTATGGTGTCGTCCGCATTAAAAGTGTGTCCAAACATTGAATATGAATCGTGAATAGGCCGAGGTGGCAGTGGTGCTCTATTTCTTCGAACATTCTCATCTGTGTAAAAGTTTATATATTGCATAGGAGGCAATGGTAAGGAACTAACTTGTGCTGTCTCGGACGACATGTTGCACTTTGATATTACACAAGACGAATGAGATAAGACGAATTCCGAAATCTCCCGTAATTTCAAGATGTGCTTAAATATGTCAATCCGTGAAATACAAATACAAATATTTAACAAAAATTCGAGAGAGAAAAACACCACGATCCGCGAATAAACGAACGAACGTCAATTTTTTGACAAATTGAATTGAGTGAGTGAGTTGAGTTGATTGAGTTTGACAAACCCAAAACAACCCACCAAAGCCAAAACCAATGATTTTTACAACAAACAAAACATAAGACGATATAGTATTGTCATAGATATATAACATAGATGTGTGACTATTGTCTACGGGTAGAATTTAAGATCCATCTCGACGGTAAATTCATAAACATACTGTTGTTTCTTTTTTACTTATGTTTCTTTGCTTATGCAGAAAGAGACAACACATTATTGTCATTCTGGCAATAATTTTTTGACGTCATCAAAAATACCTAGTTCTGCCGAATTCGCCATCTTGGTATCTGTTATCAGTGCATGTCAGTGGTACATCAACTGTCAAAGCATTGGTCAATAATATTTTGTTACGAAAATTTTTAGAATTCCTGTTATTTTTGTGCGTGGTAAGCAAAGAAATTATTGGTTAGTGAGAAGAACTATGCCCGGGTGCAGTGTTATTGGATGTAGCACTAAAAATATCACTAAATCGGCAGGTGTAACATTACATCGGTAAGTGCTGTTATTTTTCATTAAAATATCTCTGTTTTTTAAACTATTCAAGTGAGCTTGCTGCAAGTTGACTAAATACAATTCTTTTCTAACTAATGCAGTGCTTATTTTCATTAATTTTAGTTGAAATACGTCTAAAAATTTTTTCGTTGAAAAATAGTGATGTACATGTTTGTTCCCGTATCGATAATTTTATCGTTCATATTAATAAATGCTTCACAAGTAGAACAAAAACTATACTAAATTCTGAGTGATAAAGTGCATTAATTTGACATAATGACAAAATGCAAAAAACATTAAATATGTACTCGTCAAAAATTTCATTTTATCGACAATATTCCACTATAATCAATACCTACGTAATGTTATAAATAATACAAAACATGAATAATTTTTGTACAATATAAGATACGGAAAAATACTTGTGGGAAAAGCATTTATTTCTAAATTGTATTTTTATCAAATACCGCTCGAGAGACTCTAATGAAGCAAACAAATGAAATATAACTCCTCCGCTATCTATCACTATCATTGTAATGTACAAACATTTTCATTCAGACCTTAATACAGTACCTATAGAATCTATAGAGATAATCTATGTTCGATTGAATCAAGTAAGTTAAATTATACTATTTATGTTGCAGCCTCTAGCCAGATCTGTGCATGAAAATGGACTTGGAACCAGTTCTGGAGTCGTCTCGAAATCAGTCAGTCGTCAGTTGCAGATTATGTAATCTGCAGCTTCCCAGTAATGTTACTGGGGAACAGTACGAAAAATACAAAGATATTGTAACTATATTATAAATCTTGATTTTATGAATACTTTGAAACAGTCTTATTTTTCAACCCTCAAAAATTACTTAACCTTAAGTATGTAAATGTTGACTAGTTGATGGTAAATTCTTTTCATAAATTACGATACATATGTATCGTGAAAGGTATAATGTGAATGTATGGATACGATCGACCGGAGTAATAGTGCACGCAGTAACTACTAAATATATTTCGCTAATATTTTTAGTAATGTTTAGTAGCTAGACAAAAATCAAATCCAGATGAATCATAAAATAATGATATTTTATCGATAAATCAACTAAAACCAATACCAAAATATCGATACTTCTACAGTTTCAATAGTCACATCCCTAGTTCTATCCGCCATTGCGAATGACCAAGTGAAGTTTAGGTAGGCACGTTTTTTTCGTAGTTGCTTCACATCCATAGTCTTATCATATCAGTGAGTATTGTAGTCTTTGCATAAGACTGAGGGAACCATAGACTATTGTTGTTAATTTTCTCGGTACCATACCCTCATGTTGCCAATAAAGAAGAAAAAAAATAGTTAATTATTAATTGCGGCTTATTTTATATTTATCTGTGTTGAAATTTCGTAGAGTAAGGAAAATTATCTTACATGAATAATCGCTGAAATAAACATATAAGTTCAGAACTTCCGATTTAAGTACTCGACCAAATAAATAATTGTTTAAAAAAGGTTTACAAAACGACTAATTCTCCAGAAACTTGTAAACAAGTAATTAAAGCAGTTTTAGCCGGTTTTCTTTTTGAGGGATATTAAGGACTTAAATAAGAAATTAAATTGGAGAGAATGGGGAGAGCAGGAACTTTCACATGCTAGTCATGGAGGAGGCGGGGCACGTGAGGCAACGAACTGCTGTCTCCTTACAATTCAGCCATCGTGAAGGACACTCCGGGCATCAGGGATGGTAAGACGTTCTCCAGCCACCGTAAGCACGGGCTTGCGGATGGCAAGCATGGGTAGCTCGGCGCCCGATCAGAACAAGACTCGAACGTACGGCGCGTTCGCATTCCGCGCAGGAACATTAATAGGAGGCAAACGAGCAGTCATATTACCTGAGGAGTAATAAGTACGTTGCCGGCCTTTTAAAAAGAAAATATGCTCCTTTTGAAGAATAGATAAACTTAATTTTTTTACTCGGAACAATAACTAAAGCATGGAAGCCAGGCTAAAATAGCAATTTACAAACGTATATCTGATTATATCGCTCTTTACACGATTTTGCGTAGGCGAGAATGAGACCGCAAAACTAAACATAGTTCTGATAATTTACAGGTTGTCACAACTTTCAGTGGACTCATTACAATCTTATGTCATTGGACTCATTCAGCATACTACCAAATTCAAAATCACGTTTTGACGTTCTATGTTTCACTCAAGTTTGACACCTTCCTCACTTTGCCGGATTATAGCAAAGAGTATAATAAGTATAGGGGTATAATAGGTATAGGATTATAGTACTGAAGTGTCACCGTGGATGTATTTACGGCTCCTAATACTAAAAAAATATTTTCGAAGGAATTTGCGCAAAAGCAAGTAAGAAAGGAAGTATATGGTCATTCTTTATGATATGTTTTACATCATAAAACTATGTCTTGTGTAATTGACGGTTGCCATTCACATTCGGGAAGAAAAGAAAACAGTGGTGAAAAAATTCACTTTCATTCGTAAGTTTTTGATATGTTTTAAAATAAATTATACTGGAAATACCGGTAAACTATAAATAAATGTTATATATTTAATGTCGTGCTTTACAATTGGTAGGCTAAACAGTATTTGTCCATATTTTCCTAAAAATTCTAAATCAATTTTCTAAGTTCATTTTTCAGCTAGTGATGTGGTCATATTACATATCGATATTTTAGTTAAGTTTTGAATATTATTATAGTGTAGACTACTGTTACTTTTTAAGGTTTGACCCACGATCGCCGATAATACAGAAAATGTATTTTTTGTTGGTTTAAGATACATATTTCAATATTTTGGTGTGGTACTAGTGTTAATTCTTATTCCATTGTATTTTTTTAAGTTTACATTATTACTAGGTATTTAATTTTGGATAAGTAAAAAATGAACTTATTTTTTTATATGTTGCGATTATTTACTTGCAATATGATACATAAAAAAGGTAAATAAATAAAAGTTTATAATATAACAGATTCCCAAAGAATGAAAATATCAAAGAAGAGTGGATAAGACGAGTCGGGAGACCCGACTGGAAGTGGAAGACCCACAGCAGGATCTGTTCCAAGCACTTCTCCCCCGACAATTATTTGCACAATGAATATTCTACTAAAAGGCGGTTAAAATTTGATGCTGTGCCTTTAATTAATTTGTCCGAAGCTGATTCAATGGTTATTATCTCATTTTAATACACTAAAATAAACATAATATAATAATACAAAATAGAAACATTTCCAATGTTTACCTACATAATTTTCAGAGTTCAGAACGACGACATATTCACAGTATTCCACCTGCTGTACAAGGACAAGGAATTAGTACGGTATTATGTACAATTTTACAATTCTTTACTACTTACTATGAATTATTTTGTTTATAAAAGTAATCGAATAAGGTTGCTTATTCAATTTTGTTAAAACAAATCACATTTTCAGACTTCTGAGCATGGACACGTTCAATGTATTTCATCTGCTGTAATCCCTTTCGATTACAGCAGAAGAAAGAGCTCTTTAGCTCTTCAAGAATTAGAAGGACAAGAAAACAGAGTACGTATCTATAATTTATTTTATTACTCGACGCGTTGACCGAGTTGTATCATTTATTAATTAGTTTACTGCGAGCCACACCCATGCTCATTTCTAAATACCTTCGTCTTAAAAGTGTTTAACTTAAACATTTTTTAAACGTTTATACATCTTTTTTTTATTTATCGTAGAACTTCTTTATTTGTCACTCTTCGCGGCAACTTGTATTTAGATTCTAATTACTTTTGTAACTTGTTTAAGAAACCACAAATGGAAATTAACACTGCGATAGTGTCAACAATAAAACGAAAATGTTCGTATTCAGAATGTGGCACATCTTTTGGTAGAGATGAAGCATCAGCTGAAAAAAAGATTAAATTATTAGAGAAACAAGTACAAGTTTTAAAAAATGTTTTGAATCGCCGTTTGCGTAAAATAAACACATTAACAAAACGACTTAGTCGACTTTCAAAAAAAAATGAAGACCTTTACACAATCGTGATAGAAAAATTGGGACAAGAAAATATCGAAACCTAGAATATAAATATGTTAGATAGCTTAAATAAGAATGATATAATCAAAAGATTTCTTCAGAAACAATGCGACGAAGTTCTTACCAGACAGTATAGTCATGAAATTAAAAATTCGCAGTCACATTACATTATTTATCCCCAAAGGCATATTCGTTTGTCCGAGAACACTTTGAAAATGTATTGCCACACCCGAAAACCATTTCAGCATGGTATAAATCTTTAGATTGTTGACCTGGATTCACAACAGAAGCTTTGGATTCATTACAATTGAGAGCACAAGAAAACCCAAATAAAACTATATTTTGTGCCCTAGCTATGGATGAAATGGCTATAAGAAAGCAGGTAGAGTGGGATGGTAAAGAGTATTTTGGCTATAGTAACATTGGTTGTTCCCTCGATTCCGATGATGTGACACTAGCAAAGGAAGCCCTGACATTTATGGTAACATCATTAAACGACACATTTAAGGTTCCTGTTGGATATTTTTTAATTCACTCTATCACCGCTTTGCAAAAAGCTGCATTAGTTCAACAATGCCTTACACTTATAAAAAATTGTGGCGTTAAAGTTGTAAGTCTCACATATGACGGTGTTGCCACGAATAGAGCGATGAGCAATCATTTAGCTGGAGAATCGGAAACGTCTTTTCTGCACGATGGACAGGAAATATGCCTGTGGCCAGACCCCTGTCACAATATCAAATTAGTGCGGAACACTTTCGGCGATAAAAAGAATCTTATAGATTGCCAGGGACACACAATTTCATGGCTCTACGTAGAACTACTCGACAAAATACAAAATGATGAAGGTCTTCATTTAGGTACAAAGCTGAAAAATGATCATGTAAATTATGTGAAACAAAAGATGAAAGTGCGTCTAGCCACTCAGTTGCTAAGCGAGTCTGTTGCTGATGCAATGGAATTTTGCAAGCAATTAGGCATTCCAGAATTTGCAAACTGCGGTCCCACTATTACGTTCATTAGGTTATTTAATAACCTGTTCGATATCATGAACAGTCACAACATGAGAGCCAAAGGCTGGAAAAGAGCATTAACATCTTTTAATGTAGAAGAAACCATCGAATGTTTTGCAGTAGCAGAAATTTATATAAAAGGCTTAAAGCTTGTAAATGGTGAAGCTTTAATACACTCGAACAGGTCCACCGGATTCTGCGGCTTTCTGACATGTATGTCATCTCTCATCAAATTATACAACACCGTCGTTGTACCACATAATAATACAATGAAGTACATATGTACCTATAAAATGAGCCAAGACCACCTCGAGCTTTTCTTTGGTGCCATTAGATCCAAATGTGGATTTAACAATAATCCCTCTGCACGTATGTTCTGCGCTGCGTACAAGAAACTCCTTGTCCACGCTCAGTTTAAAGACAGTACTTTCGGAAATTGCATCCCTCTGGATAAAATTACAGTTTTAAACTGTAGTTCGGACTACAAAAAAGCTATTAATGACAGCACCAATTGTCGACGTCGTTTAGAACCCGAATCACATAATACTTTTGATGATTTGACAGAACACGACTACATTTTGTAACCATCATCTCTTACCGAATATTCTAAAAATGTCGTAGAATACATCGCCGGTTTTATCGGAAGGAAATTAAAAAAATCTTTACAATGCGATAAATGCATTGAAAGTCTTGAGAACACGGAGAGTATTCCTGAAAGATCTTTGATATCTATAAAAAATAGAGGAGGCCTATTTAAACCAACATTCGGCTTAATTAAGATCTGTCAACTTTCCGAAAAAATTATAAGAGAATTTCAAGTGCATATTGGTTCGAAATATCTCGGTCGACCAAAAAAATTATTAGAGATGATTAATAAAGTTTCAGCAAATGTATTGCCGTCAGAAATTTTTTGTGAATTAAAAGATCATTCATTAGAACAATCTTTTTATGATGATCACAGAAATTTTCTAATAAAGTCCATATCACAAAAATATTTTAAACTTAGGATACATTATATAACTAAAAATTTGATTGCACCTACCGAAAAAATTCGCTCACATTTAACAAAAACAATTATATTTAATGGTCAATGATAAACACACAATAGTGTATCGCACATCATACCACAATACCGCAATTCACTATCCAAAACTCAGAAATCCTTTATGGGGTTATGTATTAAATGCTATAATAAAATACCAAATAGCATACTAGATTTTAATGAAAGTCAATTTAAAATATATATTAGCACGAATTATATAATCAAGCTTACTACAAACTGACAGATTATCTTGAAGATAAGAATGCTTGGCAGCATGTTGGTTCGGCTATACTGGACAATACTCAAATGTACTCAGTAGTCAGATTCCAATAGTAGGTAATTTAATACTTTCATTCTAATGTAGACAATCTAGTTTCCTTATGGAATCGAGCATTTCTTTCTTTATTGAAACAAAGAGTTTCCTTTTTCTTGTATAAAAGCACTATTTTTATGGATTGTCAGTATGCATATGTATGTGAGCACTATGTTAGACTATAAGATTACATTTTGGAATGAGCACCTAGCTTCATCTAACTTCACTGACGGACTGACTGACAGACTGTTATTTGTTTTGTATTTGTTGATGACGTTACAAAAGTACCAAATTATTTTTTAATTGAAATAAATGCTTTGACTTTGACATCACTGTCACGGTTTGTAATATATGCTTTGTTTGTTTTATTTCTGAATCTACGACCTTCAGATTGAGAACCTAATGTACGCCAGACCACAGCAGCAGTACTTTCAGGTACTATAATTTATCGATAAAATATATTAATTTATTCCCATCACTAACATATTCACAAGTACTGACAACCTGCATGATAACGAAATTAAACAATATATATGTCTCTTTCTTATGCACTATCAATACCATAAGTAAAAAAAAGATGAAGATATGGAGTCTAGTTGTTATTTTAGCCTGGCTTCCATGCTTTAGTTATTGTTCCGAGTTTTTTTAGTTTTAAATTCTACTTTAGATTTAATTTTTTTAAAGCAAAGACGTTTAAAAATTAAAAGTTTATGGTGACACAAATTAAATACTCTGAGCACAAGGGCGATGAAGTAAGTTATCTTTTGTCAACTCGACGATAGTGCATTGTAGTCATTTGTAGTTGTTTAACTTTAACCTCAGAGAAATCTAAAAATGCTAGTATCCAGTTCTTATTTTATGTTATTGTCTATGATTTGCAAGGTGGTAACTTAAAATGTCAAAAATACATCAAATCATTCTGTCATTCATTCAGTAAATTCATAGTAAACTCAAACTCGTTCAAATTACTCATTTTGCGAGTAAGTAAAGTCAATCTTCTTGCTTCGTTTTGGAATAATATTTTTGGGCCAAAAAGTAATTTACTGAAGTAACAACTGCCGCAATTTACGTTGCATGCTGTGTTGTGTAGTTATTAAAAGTTAGTGAGTGTAATTGAGACTAACTTTTGTTTATTATCAAGATATTTATCTATTCAGTTGAAATACTCGTCTATTTGTGATATTGTGATGGATTAGGTCGTTTGAAGGTACGTAAGGTTTTACGTGTTTTATTATTGATAATGCCGGTATTCTGACTGTTTATTATGATAATTAAAATATCATATTATGCTTCAGGCATAAAATGGCTGGAAAAGATGATGATGAAGTAATATTGCAAGCGTTTATGGTCAAGAGGTCTCAAAATAAAAAGCTATTTACACCGGTCAACTACAAGGAACGCTGGCTGGTTCTGACTCGCCGAGCACTTATTTATTATGACACGGATGGCGAGGTAAATTTGATTGATCTACTTTGATTACTGAACTATCGCTCTCATAAAATAAACTTATAATTGGTTTTACTACCATTTAATACTCTAAGTTTTCACAAATTACTTACATATTTATGTTACTATGTGAACAAAATTCATTAAAACTATTAATTTTGTCATTTTATAAATATAAATATAAATTGTACATGATTTAACTCCTTAAAAATATCATTTTCCTTATTTATATTTTACCTAAAACAAATAAAACTGTTTCCCTAGTTTGTCAAAGCGCTGTTCCTAAATGAATCACAATTTAATCTGTTTCTATTATTTTTATGCTGCTAAGGAATTTTTAAAACATTAAGGTAAGTGTAGGTGCTGTGTGAATTAGAAACTGATAGATGATATATTTATTATCTTTGTAAACTACCTATGTTATAATTATTCAGTATATTATGAATTTTTCTTATAATATAATAACCTCCAACTAGTCTGTTAGTCCAATCTGAAATATTCAAAATATATTTATAATCCCAATTACATTTTATGATTGTGAGGTGTTAAAAATAAACTAATTTTATTTTAATCTCATCTGAGTAACTCATAATCAATAATCCAAAACAAATTAGGGTTAATAAATTTTTGTTTAAACTTGGGGGACTATTTACAAGCATATGGTTATTTATCATTTTAATGTATAATAATTATTACTACTGACTGCCTCATTGGCCGAGTGTTTGCAAGTGCAGGCCAGGCAAAGGGTTTTGGGTATGAATCACAGGTCAGGTAAAGCACTACTGGGTTTTTAAAAAGAAAACTCAGTAGCACGGAGTCTGGAAACGTGCCCGGTATATGGCAATAGGCTCACCCCCTATTACATGGAACTCATAACATAAATAGTGAAAAGTGAGTGTTACATTGTACCTTTAGTGTGAGTGGCAATTTAGTGCCGCAATGTGCACCTCAGCCTACGCCTTCGGGTTTAAAAGGCGTGATTATTAAAATGATATATTTTTATATTAATAAACTGTAACTCCATATTGTGACCTATTACTGTCACTAGGCTGTATCTGACTGCGGGATAGTTAAAATTATTATAGATAATGAATTTCTGTTACCACAATAACAAGAAATATTTAATATATTTTATATCTATAATATCACCGTGTATGATAAGACCACTTATTGCACACAAATTACTATTGCAATGTAGATTATTTTTCCTATCTGTGCAATAAAGTATAAAATAAATAAATAAAAGAAATTTGTTATGCTGTTGGCTGCATGTGGTGAATGTTATTATAGCCCATTTTTCAATCATCGGTTAATTGTCAACTGTAAACATTACATTTGACAGTTTTTAGTAAGGAAGAATTGTCAAATACTCAAAATCATTCCTCAGTTAAGATTTATGTAGCATTAGAAAAATCAGCCTTAAAGCATATTATCTTGTATTTTGTATCATAGTGCTTAGGATAAAGTCTAGTGACAAACGTAGGCACTGTTTAGCAATAACACCTCATTTTACCCTTTTGTCATAGTACTCTAAAAATATCCAAGCTTAAATTAATTCTATTTATTACATTTAGTTTTAAGATTGTTATACTTAATAAGTTGCCTCAATTGACTAGATGTAATCTGATTATTTTTAATGGGTAGACTAATATTTAAATTAATGACAGTAATTTAATACAGGAATTCAAAAAGAGAAATGTAGGTATTATTTCTCTCATGTTTTGACAACATGACAAAGAACAATAGGTACTAAAAAGGAGGGTCATATAGAGGTAGAATCCTATTGAAATGTTCATAAAAATTGTTTTGTTTACTCCCAGTACAATACCTATTCTTTAAGAATAAAAATCTTTAAGATTCTGAAGAACTGAATATGAATTTATCAATAAAATTGTTATCAAAGAAATACAAAAAAATCATTTATGAAAATGAGAACTCAAAAATAACCTTGTACTTATTATGTCATTTATTTTTCTATTAATTGTGAGTAAGTGAAATGTATTAATTTAGTATTGTACATTATTATTATGTCGGTACTTAAAATAAGGCCAAATACGGTATTGTGACTAAGCTTATGAGTATGTTGTGAATTTGCAGTTAAAAATATCCGGTTTTCGAACTACTTATGTCCTGAACTCTCAAGCTGAGTAATTCTCGTGTAGGTAGGGTAGTTATGGGACAGTTTTCCCCCATAACTTGTTATTGTACTTATCCTATGATTATTAGACTAGTTAGATTAATTATGATTTACTTACAACTCTCAAGACATGCGTATTTATAAACAACCTTTATCGTCACCTAGGTAAGTATGCGCTTTTGAGAACAGACTGAAAACGTAACAGACCGCCAATTGTTTTGTGCTTCACATTTCAATCAAACACAATAAGTACTAGGTACATTTTACTAAGCTAACAAGACCCCAGGTTCAACAATTACTTATAAAAAAAAATCGAATGTAAAAATGTCCGAAAAGCTATTTAATGGTTGTTTGATTTCAAATAAAAACCACTGCAATAATCTGTAGGCGATTAGTCGATCAGCGAAAAATAAAAAAGTCGTGTTTGAGTAACTAAGATATGGTCAGATTACCACTGAAGATGCTTAAAAAATGTTATCCACTTATCCAGCTATATTCAGACTAAACAAAAACTTGGACAGCTTAGTGGTAGTGTAATAACAAAAGAATTCCAGTGCGCAGGTAGTCAGCCATGTGGAATAATTGAACATCAGCACCAAACGCAAGATATGATTCACAAACTAATTACGGTTCATTCAAATAAGCCTTGGATTTGTACACTTAGAACTGCTTTAGAGACAGGAACAAAAAACGTGGAAAAAGAATTAAATGCTATCGTTGATGTTAAGTCTTTTTATACTGACAAGCATTGGGCCATTGGGCGTCTTTAACACACAGCGTGGTAAACATAATATACATAAACAGGTTTAGTTAAATATGTATTACGTGTAACATTCAGTTAACTTTAATCTACAATATAATTATTTTTGCATCAATAAGGAACTGGGGTTTTCTAGATCTAGAGATGCATTAAACAAAATAAGTTGTTTTTTTATGGTTGGCACTCACGCAACGTTTGCTTAGAATGCTAGCCGCTGTCGGACGATGACAGTGCAGACCCTCACCGCTCACAGCTAAACGTGAGTGGTAAGTACTAGTATTAAACGATATTTGATCTACCGGGTGCCTATTAGATCATAAGCTTAGCTTTCGAGGAACGAGAACGCTGTATAAACTTTAACCTGTTCGCTTTAAGAGAAAGGTAGTAAGTAGGATTCGATACTCCCTGCACAGCGAACATCTTTATTTAAGATCTTTATATAAAAATGCTATTGAAACACGGCGCATGAAACATGCGTTTGGTCACTTTTCATGTTGACATAATTAATGTGATACGTAGAGCTATGAGCCTATGACACATATCATTGTGCAAGGATTGCATGGAATAGCGTTGCGTTTCAATAGTTATTTCCGACTTAATCTTCACATTGAACCCAGTTATGACAAAACTATACCTAATAGGTAATCTCTATTTGAATTAAATTAAATGTATTAAAAATGTATCACCTAATTAGATTTAACATGCCAAGCCTTGTAATAGAGTTGAATTTATAGAAAAAGTTATTGTGATACACATATATGGTACCTAACTATTTTTATTTACAGTTCGATTCGTAAATAGTTTAGCGTAAAATCCCCAGATAGGTACAGCGTAATAAAGTGCTGTCGAAGTGTAATGTGACGTCAATAGCGTACCATTTGTGTCAACTCTCGTATGAATTCTTCCTAAGAACAGCAATAAATGCATATTTAAAATAATTTAACAATTTGCATCGTTATTTTATTGCATCTAGCTGTACATAAATTCCAGGCATGAAAATTACATAATTGAAACAGTAAATAATTAACTATGAATCTCGAGAGTTTCAAATCGGACGATAGTTGATATGAGAGTTTAGCAAACTTCTTTTTCTAAAAGTTAGCTTAACACCCAATTTTAAAAATTAGGGTGACGTAATTGGACTAACAGATTTTTTAATTTCATTTTGACTAGCTCGTCCCGCCTTTCCCAACCTGGTCGAGTGCAGCGTTGCGACGCTGTATAAGGAGACCACTGCGTACTAACTTTGGCCTTCGGCTCTTCAGACATACGGCGGACGTGGTCAGTCAATCCATTTTAGTATTAAAAGTAGCAAAATCACTCAACGTTTGATAGGCCCGTATACTCTTGTTGTTGTAAATATAACGATATTAGCACCTACGACAGTTATTAGTGGGTAAAAAGGGAATTCATGCGTCAATCAGTAGGTACTTGTAATAATAAACGGATAGATCATATTATTACAACTACAACGTCATTGGAATACGTCACCGTAATAGCGTCACGGTAAAACCGAAGTAACGAAGTGAAAAGTTAATGTTTTGTTGATGTAGTAATTTTCAATTAAGTACAAATTAGATTTTAATGTTCACATAATTTACCGTACGTAAATGCACCAAATTATACTTCGTCTATGTACACAGGGGATCGCTAACTGCAGTAACAATATTAATTTCACAGAGTTTATTGTTTCGATATTTAGTGTTTTGTGTTTGCCATTTTGTGAATAACTCATTAGGGATTCACAAGACCTATACTTTAATTTTTACTAACAAATAACAACAAAATTGTTTTGTGGGCTAGTTTTTCAGTGAACTGTTATTTTCTGACCCTATCGATCTTTTAGTGCTTTATAGATAGTTATTAGCTATCGTAAACATAAATGGGACAATCGAAGTATAACTATTTTGTGCTGTTGTACATTTACGGTTACTTACATACACGGTTCCTTTTTAAAAGCACCTCCAAAAACTTAAAAGAGATGATCACATTACATTGCATCTTGCGTTATTACAGTGGTTGCGTTGTCTCCTATCATATTTCTTTTTTAAACTGACTAGAGATGCAAGTCGTGCGTGAAAGTCACGTCATTTGCATTACGTATTGTTCAAATTGCATGTAAAGCTACCGCACAATATGTCATATATAGAAGAGAGAGTATTTTTAAAATATTAGCTTTTAAATGTATAATATCGATTGATAATAATTTATACTTCTTATTTTGTGTATGGATAGACTTAGATGGTTACAATCTTCAAGCGTAATATCGCTTATTTCACTTGAATAAATAATGAAAAAGGAAAAATGGCGCATTGCTTAACTCCTGTACGGTTTGAATTAAACTAAAAATAGCCGTAGGATTTAGTGGTTGTAGTAAAATACTAGGACGCGCAGGTAATGTTAGTTTTGTTCGACGTTTTAAATGAAAGCTGGAGGACGTAGGGGTGAATGTGTGGTGTGGGAGCGCATGCGCGAGCTGGGTGTGTCTGTCGTCCGGCGCGACGCCGGGCGGCGGCAGCGGCAGTTCCGCAACACCATCCGTCGCCGGCCCGCACCGCACCCGAACCACCGCTGGTAAAATACCAATCACTCACACCTCCATCACACCCACTTTGCCCATTCTTTCAATCACACACGCAATGTCGCCGATAGATGCGTTTTTCAACTCATAGTGTAGTTACAAATGTCTTTCTTTTGGAGTTATTGAGACATCGAACCGGTGACCAAATAGGTACGTGCGCATTCCTTTTTCAGTTTCCACCTACGTAAAAACCGCTTTTTTACATACCTATACTAAATTGGCGTTTATATTTTGATTAAAAAATTAACCGTGTGATATTTTGATACTATGCCGCTTTTGGTTTGGATTTTATTATCTTTTACCGTGACCATTTCGTGTTCGTCCGCGACGTTTTAAAGACAGATTAAATTACCGTGATCACATTCTCTAGCCAATCAATCCCCGGGACTAAACACATATCCATCATGACTACAACGCGTCTGTGTATACTTTTAATAAAACACTTATTTGTATTGATAAAGTATGTGAATATGTAGGTATGGATAAATTAACAAGAAATAATTTCGTATGAATTTGGTGTATTCGATGCGTTTTCTGGCTTTTGGTTAGTCGGAATCTATAGAAAAAAACATTCCTATGCCTAATTAAAGAGCAAAAATAAATTGAAAATAGGAAAATACGAAATTGAAGAAATTGAGCATCTAATCAATCTGTTTCTTGGAGATGTGTCGATATAGAAATAATAGCAGATATCACTTTCCTCCGATATTAAACAAGTAATGCATCAGCAATGTAAAGTAATATCAACCAACAAACTACAGAAAGTGAAAAACATCTGACATTGCTTGATGTATTAAACTCCGCATGGGAACAGAGAACGCTTGAAAAGTGCAGTAAAATAAACAAAAAGTGTGTCGTAGTCGGCCCTCCCGCGCTTAAATAGACTTGGCAATCATTCCCCACACCGTGCTCCGTCAACCCCTCGCACTTCGCCGTAATGTATGTACCGTCATGCCGCGTGTGGTCCCTCGTTATGTGAGCAATTTTAATGGAGAGCCCTCTATGACGCCCGCTAATTGTTTGAAAAAGGTTCACTCTACCGCGTCTCAGCTTTAAGCTTTGTTGTTTCAGTTCACTCCAAAGATTCTTAGTGCTTTCAGTCTCATTTTTCCATTTTTGTTTGAGAACAAGTTCTATGCAAACTAATAACAGAAGATTTTCATACATTATTGTCAGTTATGTTAAATATTTTATACAACTTATACCTAATTACATGTGCTACCAAAGTTATTTCAGTAAAATCACCGTTAAGTTCTCTCCGAAACACAATTTCATTTGGATCAAATGACGATATCAGAGATAACTATATTCTTCGAATACCTGGGAACGACAGTGTATTCCCTGCAGGAAATCAACTCGGTGATTTGATTCATTACGGCACCCGGTGCTCACCCGTTGGGCGCTTTCAGAATATTATTAGATTATGCCATCTGACGTGAGGTAAATTTGATTGAGGATCTGCATTCGTACTGATGAACTTGTTCTTCAGCATCAATTGAATAGAACAAGATATTTTTGATTGTGTAACCAATCACAATTTGCTATATAGGTAAATGATAAAATAAAAATCTGGTTATGGACCAATTTTGAGTGATAAAGTAAGCAGGGACAAATAGACCCAACAGTCAATGTAGATACGAGAGAATTTTTGAGAAAACTGTCGCGTAAATAAAGTTAAGTAAGTGTTCCGGGACAGGTTGTGATGTCGGTAATTGGTGTAGTGTGTTACTTAGAGAGGGCTGGTTGCTAGTCGCTTGGCATGGCGCCAGCCCAGTCATTGCTCTTATCGCGGTCTGCTACCCGACACACTAATGTGTTATAGGTACTTACGTTCTCCAACCCGCCGTCCATCATTACGTATATTGGAAGAACCCACTTTTTACAGATCACGATACTATATTTTTTTCTTGCTTAAACGATTCCTACTTAACATTCTTGTCACTTTAGTTGGATTAAAATGTCGAAATTCAGTGAGGGAAGCAGTTGAATATGGAAATTTTTACGCATCAGCGAAATTGGCGCTCGGCTCTGAAAAATGTCAGAGCTTCAGTTCCAACCCAAATTCAATTAGTGGGAACTGTAGCGTGAACTACTTCATTCTTTTGTACATGTTTAATTGAATTTAAAAAAAATTGCTTATTCATTAATCCGGGCTGCTGTTGTGACATTTTTGACAAGAGCGATGAGAAAGCGTTTAAGAAAAACACATTTTTCCTTTTTTCCTTATGCGACAAAAGTATTATTTTGGTAGTTGAAATTTATATAGCCATAAAAACCATAGCTGAAACTGTAGGTAACTCTCCTTTTATTTCTGCAGTATTTCTCACTTCTCTGTTGCACCAAAGGATACCCATAAAGCGTATCTAATCTTAACTTATTCAAACATTGTGTAGTCTAGTAGCGTTCATTTCGATACCGTAAACAATCAAATATGACCTCGGTATAATGGCTAATTGACGTCAAGACGTTACCTACTGATGGGTGCTGTGGCGCTTACAAACAGCATATCTATAAGATGACCTGGTGTTGTGCGTCGTGCCTTGAAAGACGCTAGAACTTCCTTGAATCTTAAAATTATTAAAATATTCTCGAGTAGGGTGTGACGAAAGGTTGGCGATTGTTTGGTTCAATTGTGGAAAATACGTTTCAAATTGATTATACAATGTTTTATTATGTCGTGTGTGATAGAGACGGAAGGAGCGTGGGCGCATCGACACGGGTGCAATCCATACAGTGGAGCAAGCGCAGTTGGGGGAGCTAAGCAAACACATACCGGAGGGTGACGGTGAGAAGAGCCCCGTTTATAGATATCCCTTTCAGGTAATATATCACACGCCATAAGCAGTGCATATTTGACTGCGTTTTGACAACTTGATTTTTAAGTTTTAAAGTTATAATTTATAGTTTAATATAAAAAAGGTTTGTGTACTCGGTCAGGTGGGGTACTCGGAACAAAACACTGACTACACACTATACCTAGTCGCCGGTGATCATACGGAACGCCTGCAGTGGATCCACACAATCAGATCGGGTACGTACCCACCCACGGTTACATAACGTCGTTTATTACGTGTGACGTAGGTAAACCCTGTTACTGACAACCTGTATTGTTTACTTTGTCACTCGCCCTGTATACATGCATTCAAATCAAGTAAACGCTCTTTGTTTTTGTAGATTGAAATTCAAAGTAAATAAAGGAAATAGAGGATGAATAACAATGAGTCATATCAATACAACTCGCCCAACGAAATAGTTTAGTATTTCCGTTATTACACACTAAATAAATCCAACTGCATAGAGAGAGCCTTCTTAGTCATAATCATGTAAGAAAAAAAGCTGTGAAAGTTTGTGAGCTAAGAAGCTTTGCATGCAACAAGACAGACAGCATTTATAGGTCAGGAGAAAGTGTAAAGGCATGGTGGGTTACAGTCTGCGCAGTGAGTGGACGCCGAAGTCGATACCACCCCGGCGCGTGGTCGGCGCGGCGCTGGAGCTGCTGTGACGCGGAGCGACGCTCCGCCCCCGGCTGCGCAGTCGCAGACCTCTGGACGCTCATAGAGTCTGACCTTGACTTGCTCACACCACCGCAAGACAACCGATTGTCGAACGACGTAACACGTGCGTATCATCAAGTTAAAAAGCTTTATGATTTTTGATCAGTAACTTTCTCATGATGTAGGTACTTTCTAGGTCCTGAAAATATACAATTTTATTTCAAAATAGTATCGAAATCTCTCTCTAGATCCGATTTGAATTTTATAAAACAACATATATAGACAGGTGTACGTATTGAATATTCATAAAAGATACACACATACCAATTATCATTCGAGATAACTCTACAAAAAACAGTTGTCCATTGCAAACGCAAGGCTTCTGTTGAAGATGGTATTATATCCAAGCGAGTCAATTGCCGTTAATGACGTTTGTATAAATTTTCCGTCTCTTTTCCACGTGACAAGAGACTCATAAGTGAAAGGGAGAACGAGTACCGCCTGCGCGCGCGCATCGAATGGTGAATGTAGGCCGAGCGCGACCATCTTTGAGCCCTCGCTCCTCGTCTCGACAACTATAAAGCCTAGTTCTTCATGGAACATCGTAAATATATTTATATGGGTTACAGTTATACCTAAATGTCAGTTGTGGACTTGTCGGTCCATATTTGTTGAACTTTTTTGTCGCCGAACCAAATGTTATAGATTTTTGTCGGAGTAATATTGAAGTTACTATAATAAGATATGCATATTGATATATTTTTTTGACTTGATCTATGCACACAAAATATAAAATAAGGCTTAAACTCAATTCAGTATTTGTTTTATGTTGTTCTTTCAAAAATGTAACCAGTTACAACAAATAAAAGTTGTCTCAATCACGTGTTACGTGCTGTATCGGACGCAGCACTGTTATGTATTGCGCTTTACCTTCGCCGCGGTACTTGGACACGTTTGTAGGCAGTCGGAGCGAGGTGTCGCGCGCGGACGTCCGGTCTCAAAGTCCCGTTCCCATGTTGCCTAATAAATCCGAAGACGAACCGATGGTGACTAAGAAGAAGTCAAAAATACCATGTCTCTCGTTGGCATCGTTCCTCCCGGCTCTAGAGGGTACGGTACAATTCGTCTGACCTCTATTTATTTGGCCTCGTCGCCTTCGGTTGCGTTCACTGGTCTCGTTGCACTCACTTTCTTGTCTTGGTCAGGTGTAATGTAATGCGTTTGTGTAATGCCCACAAAAGTGATACTGTGCAGTGTTTCTGATACCGCAGTGTTTGAGGATAGTGCTCCTTGTGCCATGGATATAGGTCGTTTCTTAGTGTATTAGCTATAAGATGTTTCTGCAATGGTTTGTTATTGTGCTCATTGAACTGTTCATATGTGAAATTGGCTATCAAGCCATCACTTTTAAGGTGGTAGTACATTATAACAAAGACTAAAGGCATAATTACCAGCCAAGTACAGGATGCTTTTGACCTTCGTCGTTCTAACATCATGTCACTGTAGTGACTGATTATTTTTGTTCAAATTCTAAGGCTGACATTTAAGCGCCTGTTCTCATGTTGATATTTATCTAATAACAAGTTCCTCATTATTAGTATGGTAACATTTTACCCGCACTTGAAATATGTTGATGCTAATTATTTTATTTTTATGATAATTTCTGTCAAAAGTACCACCAGTTTCGTGACCTTAGCATAACGAGTGGTTTTGCGGTTCACAAACGAGATCTTTGTAAAGGAAAACGGGCTATCGATTTTGAAGGTGTTATCCGCATACTTAATTGTATTGTTTCAACTTACATTAACGACCAGCATTCAGCAATACCTTTTATCTTTATTGAGGTTTTATGACATTAAGTGTGCACAAAAAGCAGAAACATTTAAGTAATAAAATGAGTGACTTTTGCTTGATGTGTTAAAAAAAACAGAATTTATGTGACTACCAATTGATTTAATGCTATCAATATTAGCTATTATAAATGACATTAGCATAACATTAGGCAATATTTCTTAATAAGGAATACAATTTGTTTTACACGTTATTATTTTCCTAGATTGTGAAATTGGTTTTGATTTTAGCGGTCACGGCGGCAGTCACGATGCCCGGGGGAGGCGGCGCTCCTCCAGGCACTCCCTCTGCCAAGCCAAAGGTAAATAACTACACAATTAGCCTAATTTACCAACAATATATATTGTTATTACTCTGACTGTAAAAACTTATCCAGAAAAATGTATCTTTCAACATTTGTATCCAAATATGACTTAATTTGTGAATACAATATATCATTGTTTTTGTGTCAATAAAATACAATATATCATGCTCTTAAGAAAATGTTTAATTCTAATCAGACTCAATACTAAAAGCTTTCCGTATTTAGAAAATTAAAGATGGACATATATGCAAGTGTCATTTATTTTACTTTGGATTTTATTCTTTTAAAATATGCGTACTTATTTACAGGAGAAGCAGAGAACCAAAGTCGTGGTAGCTCTGTATCCCTTCAGAGCTATTGAAAGTGGAGATCTCTCATTAGAAAAGGTAAGTTTAGCCCTTGAAATAACGTACCTAAGGGCCCCAAAACGTAACCTGATATTTTAGATACCTTCTATAAATATAATCTCAGTGTAGGAGGAGCTTAAGTGTCAAAAGCCAAGTAATTTCCAAATGAATAAATGTGTTCACTACATAGCCGTGGATGGGAGTCAAAAAGTTAATAGTCGTTATTAATCAAGAGCAAAGTACAATAAGTTTTGGGTAAAATTCGTGGGTTGTAATAAAAAACTATCGTACAACGCCAGGGCAATTATCTAAAGATCGCTTTTTTATTCGACTATTATCTATGAAAATATAGCGAATGTCTATTTTGGTGTTAGACAAAAAATGTTTGACACAACATAAGTTACGTTAGTATTTCAGTAGTTAGCATATTCTATTGAATAAATGTTTAATTTAAATGACAATAGTTGTAACCTCATCTGGACAAAAGTTTTTTTCTGTTATTGACTCTGCTACTACAAATTAGATTTACAATGCGCGATTTTGTTTTGGATGTCTGTATTTTGGTAAATATTATGATGTTTATTTATTATACCTACCCCAGAAAATTGGGGAAAATATGTTAGTAAAAAGATAGATAAACCAAACTTTGAATACAATACAGGATAAGATGGTATTCACGAAAATTTCGAGAAACCCAATATTATATTGGTTGTATATCTACTGTAGATCCTGGCTTGCTGGCGTTGCAGCGGTTTTGGGAGGTTGTGGCGGGCTTGTCCCTATTAAAAAAACCCTACATTAATATAATTTGCCTGATCCAAGGCTTTCACTTTGTATTGGCTTAGCAACCCAGTAGTCACTTTTACTCATTTTACAAATGAATAAAGTTGTTAATTTACTAAATCTAATTTTTGTTCTTATAGGGCGCCGAGTATGAAGTCATAGACGACTCCCAAGATCATTGGTGGAAAGTTAAAGATGAGAATGGGTAATTTTTTTTATTGTTATACATTTTTTTTTCTTTTTTTATTTTATCGATATTTATTTATACATTACCTCCTTTCTAGGTCGGTGGGCTACATACCGAGTAATTACGTTAAGGAAAAAGAAACAATAGGATTGCAGAAATATGAGTAAGTATTATTTATTAATTTTAAATACATTTATACAGTAAGATTACTAATTTTTCCATTTCCTCTTCCGTAAGATATCAAATTGATTTTATAATCTGTATTTGTCCAGAGTAACAAAATTCTGTATTACCAATAATGGATAATTTGAAAATTTCGGAGAAAAATAAATTAAGGAACTATATTTGTGGTGTCCATTTTAATTTTGTGTTATCATTAGAGTTTATTATCCAATCAATAAGTAGCTATGTATAAATTGTATAGGGAAACAAAACCTACATTAAATCAATTACAGGATATTTTTAGAGAATCGAGATGAATCTTTCGTTCTGATTTAAATTATAACATTTGTGATGGACCACAGTCCGATACCTATGGACTATTATGATTATTATTTACGCGTTTTCCTTTAGTAACACGTATTTATATTTATTGGTGAAAATGCCTACTCACTATGGGATAAAGGCGTGTGTTTTTTATGGTACTTGTTAATAAATAATACGTGTACTCGTTAACTAGACCTAAACCCACAAGATAGATACTTAGATTCAATAATGTAGTAGACTTTCGCTCATTTTGCATAGCAACACCTCTATCTAAAGTCTCCTTTTATTTACTTACTTTACTGAACTTGTAAGATTAACAAATTACTTTACTTGGTTTTTGTGGTCAATTGTAAGTATGTATTTTCTACTTAATGTAAGAATTTATTTTGATATCTTTTTTGTAAAGTTTAGTGGTAGATATGTCTTTACTACTCTCAGTATATTTACTGGTAATTAAAAAAAAAATGAATCGTACGCTACTTGAGGTGAAAATCGAATAAAAATAACTCTCATACTTTAAGCAGTAAAATATATAATAATACTTAGTTATTATAATAACAAAAATTGTAATCAAGTTTAAAATGGATGTACTTGAATTGTTATCTCGTGGTTTTGTTAACGTTACAATTGTCAAGGTTTTGCTATACTTATTCGATGCGCGTATTGCTCGCCGTTGACAGAATGAGAACGACGCCAATTCCATGTAAAGTTGTAAACTATTTCAATGAACATAAATACATTGAGTTTTGTAGTGTAAAATATGTAAATAACGATTTATAGTCTTCTTTCAAAGATTGCATATTAGCTTTTATTACAGAATAGCCTTAGCTACCGACTCCGTTTGCATACAGAATAACATTAGGCATAATTTTATGAGGTCTATCTATTTCTTATTCTACTTTTTTTCATATGGTATTTAATTTGTAGCTATGGTATTCCATTACAGGATTATCGTCTGCAGTCTGATCCTTTTACGCCCGGTTACTTTCCCATTTACTATGTTAATAGACAGGGATAATGTGTCATCTTTAGTATTAAAAGACAATAAGTCTAATATTCATTTATCATGCATTCAGGAAGTCCGATGTATAGCTCCGATAATTCTCGAAGGTTAAACAAATTTATCCGGTACGGTAACGCATTGTAATTCTGTGTACGCAGGTGGTACGTTGGCGAGATGTCGCGACAACGTGCAGAGTCCCTCCTCAAACAGGAGGACAAAGAGGGCTGCTTCGTAGTACGCAATTCCTCCACCAAGGGCATGTACACTCTCTCCTTATATACCAAAGTGTAAGTACCTAAGTAACTGTCACTCACTACTTTTGCAATATTTATAAAGTTGCCACTTAACACCTTGGCACGGTGTCAAGATCATTTTAACTTTGAATTTTTCTACCTTCGTAACCGGTTGTTTAAAAAGTAAAAGAAACTTAATATAATTGTGCCACTTTAAAACTTCAAGAAGTAGGTGTATTTTCACCAAACACCATTTCCATATAATAATTGTAGTTATAATTTATGGTCAGTACTGTGGTTGTAGTCAACCTTTTATGCAATTATATTTCGAAACCTTTCTAGAACTTCCAAACGCCCTTACGAATCGGTTTTGACTTGAGTACCTGTCTAATAACAATCAAACAATAATTCCAGCTACCACCCTCAAACGAAGCACTACCATATAAAGCAGAACAGTCGCGGTGAGTTCTATCTATCGGACAAGCACTGCTGCGCCAGTATTCCGGACCTTATAAACTACCACAAGCACAATAGCGGGGGCCTGTGTTCCCGGCTGAAGACTACGCCCTGCGACCGGCCTGCGCCGCCCACTGCCGGACTCTCGCACGGTCAGTACGGTTAGTCACACATCATTGTCATCTAATAACTCCTAACAACAACATTCTACTTATGAGCTCATTCTACTTATGAAGTAAGAGAATTGCTACCTTTTTTGGAACGATTTGATAAATAGGTGACATGTAATGAGGTTACTGTAAGGTGCAATTTTCTTACATTGTTCATAAACTCATCTAATTGCATGTCTCAGTATTTAACATTCGTTTTGTATGTTTGTGTGAATAATATTACATGTTTTAATAATTTGCACTCTTAGTAGTTAATTAGTGGTTTCAAACAATACCGTCGTGACATTAGTGTTTGATTAAATCATTATCTATATTTTTGCTTTTTTTAAAAAGCTTTACATAAGGAGGAATGGAAGGAGGGTAGGGAGGCATTTACCCTGCAGTAGCATCATGGCTAAAAAAAAAAAATTGCAAATAGCCAAATAGAAAACTCAATGTACGGAATTTACTTATTATAATGACAAAGTCGTTTGTCAATCCCATACATTGTGGTTTATCATAATGTTAGTTATACGAATTTAGAAAATTGAAGTTTACAAATAAACAAAGTTAAACTCAATAAGTAGGCATCTATCGTCCAACTAAATGTTTCGTAATTTTTGGTTTCGTGGTGTTCATTAACAAATGACTAATCAATTCATAATAATTTCACCAACGTAATAATATATTGAACCGGAAAATGATAAGTAAATGATACTTAGGGAAAGTCAACTAATAGGTTATATTGGATTGACAATATTAAATTTCTATTAAACCCGTAAATGTCCATTGAGGCTAAATTTAACTTGGGAATAAGCTTAATATGTCAGAAATTTATTTATAGGTAAACCCAGACATTGCATAAGTTATGATTATACGGCATTAAAGGTATTTAGACTTTTAAGTAGCACTTAAAATCGTTAGTTTTGGAGGAACCAGTATTCTAAATGGTATTTTGTTTACGAATGAAGAATAGTATTATTGTCGCGACATTTAATCTACAAAGCCTAGAACGTTCTGCCCCTCAACGTAATATGTATTACAAGGTTCAAATAAACAACAACAAACGTCAAAAGTGATGTCATTGGGAACCGTACTATAAAGTTCATACCAAATAATTATAGTAATTGTGGTATATTAAAACGTTGATTTACCTCGTTTTACATTAATAAGATTTATCTTAAACGGTTCAGCGTGTCATAATTAATTTTATTTGTTATGTCAAATTAACTGATTATGGTGGTTTCATTAGTTATAATAAAAGATTGCTGTGAAATAAAAAGTATTGATTATCCCATGCTCTTATCGTAATTGGTATGTTTTCTTATATGTACAATATTTACGTATTTTGTAGTCAAGCAAAATTTTAGATATTTAAAATTCCTTTTATAATCTTTACAGATAAATGGGAGATTGATCCATCGGAATTAGTGTTACTAGAAGAGTTGGGGGCCGGTCAGTTCGGCGTGGTGAGGCGAGGCAAGTGGCGCGGTCGTATCGACACCGCCGTTAAAATGATGAAGGAGGGCACTATGTCTGAAGACGACTTCATTGACGAGGCAAAAGTCATGACGTAAGTATTAAACTAACTATCTTATACTAGCGGCGCATCCCAACTTCATCTGGTTACATATTTCCAGTTCTTCCGCAAACATCGGATTTTTCTTTCATACGAACCTTAAATTAGCATAATGGTCAAGCAGTTCGGGAGTTATGCGCTTACATACATTTTCGGTAATATTTTTTATGAGTATAGATGTTATGTAGCATACTTCATTCTGCATGTAACTCAAAGCTCTTAATATCATCCAGTTTTATGTATTTTATTTATATTAATTTGATTACAGGAAACTCCAACATCAAAACTTAGTGCAGCTGTACGGCGTGTGTTCGAAACATCGCCCTATATACATAGTGACGGAGTACATGCGACACGGCTCTCTCTTCAACTACCTGCGACGAACTTCCCCCGACCAACTCGGACCGGCTGTACTGCTGGATATGTGCATACAAGTAAGACAAACTATGTATTTATAATTGTGTATGTAGGACTAATACTGTTGTAATAAACTGTGAGTTTTATACCATCATGAAAACTGCGGTTTTGATAATGATTAACTTTGGTTTTGAATTCGTTTAGTCTTTGTACCTTTAAAATCTAATATGTGTAGGTATTGTATTTCTTTGATTAGAGTTAGACGTTGTTGTATAACTAAAGCACTTTCGTTTCAGGTTTGCAAAGGAATGGCGTATTTAGAAAGGCACAATTATATTCATCGAGATTTAGCTGCAAGAAATTGTTTGGTTGGCGACGAGAATGTTGTAAAGGTATATTTTAAAGACGTTCTCATTTCATTCATACAATTTTGCCTCTAACTTTTGTAGCAGATATTTCTAAAGCTCTTTATCACTTTTGTACTTTCAGGTGGCGGATTTCGGTTTGGCACGATATGTATTAGACGACCAGTACACCAGTTCTGGCGGCACAAAGTTCCCCATCAAATGGGCACCCCCTGAAGTGCTCAACTACACTCGCTTTTCATCAAAATCAGATGTTTGGGCTTTCGGTAATAATAAATTACAAATATTACATTTTTTTTGATAAAAACTAACCAAAGTGTAAACAATACTCTTGAAAAGGATCATTAAATGTTTTTTTTATTTCAGGTGTACTAATGTGGGAAGTATTTACTTGTGGCAAAGTACCATACGGACGCGTGAAGAACTCCGAGGTAGCAGATATGGTTCAACGTGGCATGCTCCTAGAGAAACCGAAGGGTTGTCTCAACGAAATATACAATGTAAGTATATCGTTCTTACATACTCTGAGACGTAGTGAGACTCGGTAGTGTTTATGAGTGGATGTAAGAGTACGTCGTGTGGTTCAGGTGATGCGGCTGTGCTGGCGACGGTTGCCGGAGGAGCGTCCGTCGTTCCGCGCGCTGAAGGAGGAGCTGGCCGTCATCGCCAACAGCGTGCTGGCCGACTGACTGCGCCTACTGCTGCACCTGCTGCGGCCCGCGCCCCCCGCGCCCGCGCCCGCGCCCCCTGCGGCCCCCGCGCCCGCGCCGCACCAGCCGCTCGCTTTCGTCTCCCCGTGAGGCGCCGCTCCGTGCCCGGATCTTCGAGTAGCTTTCGCCGCGTTTGAAATGCGCGGGGCGCTGCGGAGCCTGGCCTCGTAGCCGCGGACGATAGCTGTCATGTATACGTTTGTACCAGACTGAATGTAACCGAGCTTGGATCGTGGCTAGGTTACCGCGAGCGCCCCGAATTTGAACTATACAAATTTTTGATGATATAGATTTGAAAATCTGATTCAAAGTTAATTTGTGATTTAGGCTGCATTACTCGCGTATTTGGAAGTATCCGTTCGAAAACTGTAGCAGATACGTATCGTATATCAACTAAAGCAATATGACAAAATTACACTATTATTTCTAGAAAGTGACGTCAACATTCCAACTTCACAGTTAGCACTCATAGTAGCACATCGATTTCCGACAATAACACAACTCTATTTCACGGAATTGATCTCACAAATGGAATTGACATACACAATTACTATTATACCCTGATAATATAATACCCTATCCACGCGAGTAATCGTAGGAGCCGTCCACTGCCACTTTTCAATAATATGCATATTTAAGTAGCTTCGCGTTATCTCTCTAAGGAAATATACAGGTAGCACAATTGACCTTATGCGTATCACCCGAGTAAAATAATAAACGTTTCTTTGATACGTACCTACATTTAATACCACAATATAAACACGCAGAACACACAAAGGTTTATCATAATTACTCAGCTTTTATTTCTGTATCTTTAGCCGTTTAGCTATGATTTCGGCTAAAATTAGATAAACATCATTTTACATCCTCATATCATTATCCATGGTAGTTATAATGTAAATATAATACTGTAGCTATTTAATATACTAGTCGGTACGTACACAGCGACATTGTAACTTCGCACATGCCGTCGATGATTAGTTGACATATATTAACCTGGATTTCCTCGTATGTTCCTACTACACACACGGCGCGTTTTCAACACAATGTGTAACCTTATTTCTCAATAACACACTGTTTTTTTACACTTTAATCGTCACAAAATAATTCCAATTTATCAATTGATTATACTTTTTGTACATTCCTTTTTAAAGTACTAGTCATTAAGAGAATTAATAAGACCGTTTAAACATTTTGTGAAAATTAAAAACAAAAAATTTCAGAGGAGATATAGATAATTGAGTAAATGTAAACACAGCATAGCAATGAACAGTTACATAGGAATATGTAGATCTCTGCAGTGGTGGTCAACTAGAAGACATACATTTTAAAAATATGTATGCATGAGTGGTTAGAAGTATTGAATTGAATGTGTATTGAGAGTTTCGGCTGTGTTTTGTAAATTAAAATACATTAACATGGAAGAGTGTTTACAGAATATGTGTACTTTACTTTTAGGAACAATCGAATCATCTATTTTTCAAACCTATGTAATTAGGTGAAGATTGTAATGAAGTTATGAACAATATCTTCGAGAGCAACGCAGGAAGTAGGTTTATGGGAGTCGTGAGTCTATTAGGTTTGTTTTATTATCTTAGCATAATATACGATGCCACAAGAAACGCTGGCAAAATAATATTTGATGTTCCTAGTTAGTTGATCACTGCTGTAATTGCGACATGTTGTGTTACAATTTATTGTTTATTGAATATGGGGTATACTGAAATGGTGGTGACACTAAGAAAATGTGCCAATTATGTATAGACCCTTATTAATTTTAGGCATTTATGACTGAATAAAAATTCTCAATAAATAATAATTTTAGGACCTTTTTCCGGTTTATAATGCAAATAAAATGGGCGTGAAATTCGAGTACCAGTATTTATAAAACATTTTTACAAAATGGTATTTTAATTTCACTAAGTTATAATAAGTAAATGTATTTTTTGTGATAAATCTTATTTTTTTTAGTACGTAGGTATTCTATAATAGGAATTACGAATGAAGAAATGAAGACTACCTGTAGTTTTAAATTTTACAAAAACTGTACTAATGTAACATTCCAGAATTAGGTAACAGTACATTAACGGATTTATAGATATCTTAGCTGGCAGAACGTGTTAGGTGCGTTGTTCTAAAAAAACGAATTTATCGTTAAATAGGATTTATAATTCTCCATAAGGTTTTTAAAACGCACTTTAGCACGTCCTATCGGCTAAGATTACTGCCTGTAGAGATACATGTCGCTCGATACATAGGAATACTGCATTCAAATAAAATTCGCTACACATTTGTATGGCGAGTGTTTGTATAACTGTTTTGTAAAATTATTAAGTCAAGTAAAATAATTATAAAAACACTGTTTTTCATTTCTGTACCTTGATAGACAGACTTATCTGATTACTTGCGATAAGATTTGACAGACAGTTCTGAGATGGATATCGATGTTTATTTATACCTACTGAATTATTGCGCATCACTGACATTGATTGTAGATAATGGTCCGTATACCCACGTTTGATTATACATGGTGTTAAATATATAAACAGCAATCTACAGAAAAAAATACTATTTATAATTGGACTGCACGGTTGGCGCGGTTGCTGGGCTATTGGCTGCTGCACGTGTCGCGGGTTCGATTCCCACGCGGAACAGCTCATTGTGTGATCCACAGATTATTGTTCCGGGTCTGGGTATCATGTGTATGTGAACATGTGTGTGTAAACGCACTCACGGCACAAGAAAATACTAATGCGGGGCAAAAAAAATTTTGATGGTAAAATACTAAAGTAAAATAACAAAATGATGATTATTACCCATTTATTCATATTTATAATATAATATTATATGTATAGATACGTCAAATAAAACTTAAGAATAAGTACACGGGTACACGCAACGAAACTACTAATTTTTATTTTATGGCATTCAGCAGGTACTGGAAGTGTTCGTAATGGGGATGATGACAGGGTATGAAAATTAAAAATATAATTAGTCCGTAAGTTAGGTAATGAAAAAATATTAGACACGTATTTTTTTATTTTGTCGTATAATAAAACAATACTTGGATAAAACGAATCAAAGTTTAGGAGTGGGGGCTAAAACGTCATTTCTTAGTATAAAATGTACTGAGAAGTGACGTCACGCGACATTTCAAATCAATATATCTTCGAAACTATTCGTTTCTGTGAAAAAATAAAAAATACGTGTCTAATGTTTTTAAATAATCTATCAGACGGACATTAAAATAAAAATTAGTCGTCTACCCTATTACTACATTACTAAAGAAAATATGAACAACAAACAATAATAATTAGGAATAAATTCTAGTTACATAAATAAGTACGAGCGCGACATACATAGAAAATATAGAGCGAAATACATAACATTGTATTTTGCGAATAAAATAAGTATACATATCACGTGGGTGACACTGTATGGAATGAAATATAAAGAGAGCATACATTCACGTAATATTTGTTCGGGATAACAGACAAGCAAGATGTTTAACATAAATATTTTTTTCAGTACTTATGTACTAAATAATACAACTATGTTATTGTGAATACAATATAAATAATTCTGAAATACACATGACATATTATGACATAAGCATTATTGTACATAAGAAGATACATACCTACGACATAAGTTATATGTTTCCTAACATAGATACATATTTTTACGTTAAATTATAAGAAGTTAAGAACCTAATAAATTCTTATCGTTATCAAGTCACCCTGTAACATTTTCAGGATTTTGATTCAACTACATTTTGTTACAACAGTTTTAGCATTTGAAACAAATATTTAACAAATTTTAACTAAACATGGTCTGATAAGGATAACAGTTTATTTTAACAATATAACAGGATTTTAACTTACGAATATATCAATAACAAATTTAATTAATTGGAATGCATAAACTTAAAGCATTGTTTAATTCATAATGTTAAACAATACGAAATTAAATATTACAAAAAAATCATTTACAATGATTAATTGACTTTTTGGTGTTAAAACTTCATTGTTTATACTAAAATAACTTTTCTTTTGAAGAAAATAAGGTTGAATATAATTTTGTAAGTTTGTACCTACTAAGAGAGACTAGTTAGACATGTTAAACATAATTCATATGGCAAGGATTTGAGGCGAGGGGTCTAATTAAAGTGACTAGCGGGTAAGAACTCCAAAAGAGTCCTTATTATTAAATTGTGTAAAACAAATATTTAACTACTATAACTACGCATTTAGGAATATGGAATAGTCTGTGTATAGAATAACAAGTAAAGTTTGAAGGATTTTGTTGGAGGAAAAACAAAAATGTAAAGCAATCATAACTAAGATATCGCATAAAGATCTAAAATAGACAGATGTAATGTATGTAGGAGTTTATTATAAGGTGAACACAGATGTAAACCTAAGGGAGTTTTGAACATTGTTGAATACTGAGTGGCTATTTATACTCTTTGGTGGGTGACTATTTACAGACATTCAGTTAAATATATTTAAATACAATTAGACTATTAATTTTCCAAGTTATACTAGGTAGGTACTATAACAACGGAAGTTAATATGTTTAGTAATTTATTATTTGGCTATATTTCCCATATGGTCAGTAGATAAAATGAGGATAAATATAATTTTTGGTGAATTTGCCTAAGGTCATTTTAAAATATATACATTTATAAAATACATGTATGATTAAGTCTAGACATTCATACCATTGAACATTGCATTTGTCGGTTTTATGTTTGTTATTTACATGTCATCAGGAAGTATATCAGGTATCAGATATTGGCACAGATCCATCTCTGAGTTCACAAATACAACCTTACTGGCAGTATTTTCGTCCAGCCTAGAAAACAAAAAGTATAATAAAAGAACAGTTTAAATAAATTTATAAACTTATTATTATTTGCCTGCCTCGTTGTCCGAGTGGTCGTAAGTGCGACTGTTAGGCAAGGGGTCTTGGGTTCGATTCCTGGGTCGGGCAACGGAAAACTCAGTAGTTGCACGGAGTCTAGAATTGTACCCGGTATATGGCAATAGGCTCAACCCCTATTACATGGGACTCATAACTTAAATAGTGAAAAGTGGGTGTTACGTTGCACAATGGCATTGAGTGCCATAATAAGCACCTCTGCGTACCCCTTCGGGGATAAAAGGCGTGATGTTGGATGATGGCTTAATTTTATAATGTTGTTAGTTTATTACTATTGTTGTGAACTACAAGTTTTCTCACCATTGTTTTATAACAGTCCAACATCCAGAGAAGAATGCTGGTGCATTTGTGACCAGGCATACACCTAGTCTCTCCGGGTAGTGCCGACTGAGCAACCAGATCAAGTTCTTCAGCACTTGGTAGTCCATGCAGGACAGTGTGAAACCATTCAAGTCAAACACTATACACAAATTATCTATGACTTCCTCAAAACATTTTTTACTGGCGTCTTCCTGTATGAAACAATAATTTTAATATTAATTCTGATATAAAATAATGTTACTTATTTATGGAAAATAGGCAATAAAATAGCACTGTTATAAATTCAATATTGTTTAAATAATTAGTTTTCTACAAATATCAGTATTGAATTATTATATTTTCATTGTACTTTTAAGCTGTGTTATCATCTGTCGAAACTTTATTTTATGATTTAATGTTGCCCTACATTAGAATTTTCTTCTGTGTCATGCGTGTGTTTACAACTTGTTTAAAATATACAACATACCCTCCTCAATAGTTACATAAAAAATATAAGAGGAATATTTTAAGTTTATAAGTTATATTGTAATATTTTTTTCATATTACCAAGCAGTAGACGATGAATTTAGTCAATTCATCAATGTTCCTGTCACTGGAACTATGGTTCTTTGCTGGAATGTATATTATCGGTCTGCCAATAATGTCCCTGTGTCGAAGTACCCTTGCTTTGTTGGAATATTTCTCTATAATCTCTTTATTCTCACTTAACTCGCTCACACCATACTCTACTCTCCATTTGTTTGTTTTCAATATAGCCTGAAATAATTAACAACAATAATGAAGAATTGGACAGGATTTAAGTGTCTATCATAATGGGCGGATACTTTAGCTGGGTATCATGTTAGAATGACAAAATATATACTAAAAACAAAATGTGAACTAGACAAACTGACAAGAATTAGCTTTAGATTTTTTGAATAACAAACCCTGAATCTTTACCTGGAATGCATTGTTGACTGTTTTAAATGCTCTCAAGTATCTCCGCAATGAATAATCATTGTGATATTGCGAGGGATCGGCACTAACAATCAGCTTCATCCTTTCTTTTAATTGGTTTAAATCCTCTTCGTTCACAACAGCTCTCGTTTCGTCAGCCATGGTTTATAGTATCGAATAGATTTGAATATGTAGCTTTTCCCTCTAAAATAAGAATGATTACGATAATTAGGCTTAAAACCGGCTTATCAGTTAGCTCAAAATTCAGGAATTTAAGAACGAATATTCTTCCAGTTCATTGGATTTTTTGACGTTCCAAAACTGACAAATACCTGTTTCACAATTTATAGCATGAAGTTCGATTTGTCTAAGGCTTAAACGTAGGGCAAAAAAGGGATAGCTGATAGCATGTTATGTTATTAATCCATTTTCACTGCATAGACGGAAATTATGGAACGCGCGCGGTAAACTTTATAGCTGTCAAATCAACGTGATGTCATGTTAGGCCGTTGTAAGGCTGCTAGGGATGGGAAATAAAAGGGGTACTATAACGAGGTCCAGAGCGATGTTCATCAAATCACGGATTAAACTAATATAGGTAGTATCCTAATACTGATATTAATTAAATACTTAATAATAACAATAAAGTTTATTTCAATTACAATAGGCATTTAATAGAAATTATATGTTATCGCCTTTAAATCAAGGAATTGCACTTATAAAATATGACCGAGGATGACTCCTCGATCTCTCATCAAGAACGTATGACTTTATAGATACTATAAACTGAGTAACATCAACATAGAGGGGCTCCGATAGGTCATTACTATTAAGCTGATTATAATGTTGTGACCATCAAGATAAATTATTTTGATATGAGCTTATGACACCAATGATAATTATTGGTTTTCTGAACCCGATTTTTTTTAACGCAGGTTTTTATTTTATCATTTTTGGTGTAAACCTACATAGACCCGTTTTGCCACTTATAATCCACATAGGCGCAAAGTCCTAATCAATTTAAATTATACACGTCCAAACACAAGGTAGTTACTGTAAACCATTGAAGAGTTCCCTTAACAATTACACTACTTCATCATCAGACCCTTGATGACAATTTCACTCCATCTAGGTGTAAAGTTCTCATGAATACAAATTAACCAAGCCAAAACACAAGGTAATTACTTTCTAGTATACAGGCTCCATCATCAGGTCGATCCCAGACATTCATCAAATTGTAGTGTTACGGCGGAGTATTGGGTGAACAAAAAAGTCAAAGTCAAAGTCAAAGTCAAAATCATTTATTTCAATTAGACCAGAAAGGCACTTTTGAACGTCAACAATAAAATTAGAAGTGAAGCTATTTGCTCATTCCAAAGTGTAGATTCCTATGGAGAAGAACGAGTAAGAAACTCCATAGGTTACTCTTTTTCAATCAGGTTCACAATACAATTGTCCAGTTACATAGTTTGCTGTTTGGATTGTGCGAGAACAATGTAACACTAAAATCTAGTCAAAGTGATTGAAAAAGAAAATAACCTTAAAGACAATAAATAATACAGTCTGGAGCTGACCAGTCCCAGTTGACGGCGCCCGTTCACGAACATGACACGTACACCAGCACCGCCCAAATCAACCATATTGTAGGGAATCGAGCGATCCACTGCACGCGCCACCGCCAATGAGACCTTTGAGTGAGCATGACAACTCCACGCTGACACAAATGCATTCTACTAGTCTAATTTAATATTAAGTTAATTACAGGGCTCTCACATTCACAATGGTTATCTAAGTTAAACAATATACAATTTAGCAAAATGGCTGTATTATTTACAATTTCATTAAAACATCAGTGTTTTTTGTTATCCTGTGGAGCCGGACTAGCCTGTATCCAAGCGTTTTTATCAACTATATAATCATTAAGTTTGTAATACGCTTGTTTACATGAAGTTTTCTTTATACATAATTTAAATTTTGATTCATTTAGGTGTTGTATGTCGCCTGGTATCTTATTATAACATTTAACACAGAATCCCATGAACGACTTACTTACTTTCGCCAATCTCAAAATTGGCTGACTTAATCTATTTCCATGTCTAGTTTGATAGTGGTGTCTGTCCGACACTTTACCAAATAACTGTAGGTTTTTCCTAACATACATGATGTTTTCATAAATAAATTGACATGGAACGGTCATAATGTTGATCTCCTTAAACCTTTCTCTGAGAGATTCACGACGACCTAGATTGTAGATAGCTCTGACGGCGCGCTTTTGCAATACAAAGATAGACTCAATGTCAGCAGCGTGTCCCCACAGCAAAATGCCATACGACATAATGCTATGAAAGTAACTGAAATACACTAGTCTTGCCGTTTCTATGTCAGTTAACTGTCGTATCTTCCAGACAGCATACGCTGCAGAGCTCAATCGTCCCGCTAATGATGTAATATGAGGACCCCATTGCAATTTGTCGTCTACAGTAATTCCCAGGAAAGTTGTCTCTTTTTTACAAACTCTAATTTTCTCACCATTCAATAATATTATGTCACATTCGTTGCTTTTAACATTTGGCAAAACAAATCTAATACATTTTGTCTTTTTATTGTTTAGTACTAGGTTATTTAATGTAAACCAATTTTGAACTTTAATTAGGGCATTATTTACGTCGTCATAATTATTAGTGCGTCTATTTATTTTAAAAACTAATGAAGTGTCATCAGCGAATAATACCATCTGCGGTTCATTTTTAAATAAATGGGGCAAGTCACTTACGTACACTAAAAATAAGAATGGACCTAGTATCGAGCCCTGCGGTACACCCATAGATATGCTAGCACCCTGTGAATTTACTTTATTTACTTGTACTTTAAGTTGCCTATCCTGAAGGTATGATTTCAACAGATTTAGCGACGTCCCCCGAATGCCGTAAGAAAAAAACAAAGAACCGAATATAGTACCTCCTCCTTTTTTTGAAGTCGGTAAAAACCAATCGTATCTTCCAGAATCGAGTAAATAGTTTGAAAAAAAAGATCTTCGTAGAGATCCGTAATTTTATTAGGTACATAAATTAGAATGAAGGCTTAAATAAACTAAATGTATTTCTTTCAAATAAGAACCACAATACAAGATATCTTAGTCTAAACTTTAAGTACACAAGATAAATAGCAATATCTCTAATATACCTATGTATCTTTAACTAAGAAGGTCAATAACAGTAAAGGGGGGTAGGTGCGGAACAGTCCTTCTAAAGTCATCAACAGTGCAACAGAAGCTGTATCCGATGTCAATGTTGTCAGGCTTCCAGTTGAGCCAGCTGAACGCGCTGTTGTTGCGGCAGCGGTCCGTGCAGAAGGTCAGAGCACGGACCTCGGACTCCGTGTAGTAAGGGTTGTTAATGCTCACGAATGCTGTGCCGAGACCACGAGAGGCATCGTAGACAACCTGAAGTAATAAGTAATGGTTTACAATGAGTAATTATTCTTCAAATATATAATTTGTTAGTTTTCATCTTCAACTAGGAGTTAGTCTAATCTAATTTCATCATCATCATACACAATTCTTTGAAATTTTACAGGGTAGGTTACCTACTTAGGCACCTACTAAAAGTCTATGTTCAACAGTAGAAAATGATCCTCTTGCGGCTGATATGATTGCTGCTGATTACCTTATAATAGTAGAGAGGCACAGGAATCTGCGGGTTGTTATTGGCGTCAGTATACAGGTAGATATCGACGAGGCGGTCATTCTCATCACGGAGTTGAGTCACGCCGAATGTTCCAGTGTAAACCACGGTGTTATAACCAGCTTTACCGATGCGTTCACGCAATTTCTGTAAAGGATGTAAAGAATTTATGAAACAGTTTAGGAGAATCAGCTGGTCAAATTACTCCAATGGATTGATTTTTTTTTAAGTTGTCAACTGGGTAGGCAGACAGTTTTGTGAAGCTTACCTTTAATGTTTTCACACAATATTATTATGATTTTAAGAAACTTACTTGTTCCAATGAGTTCCAGTTACCAGCATTAAAAGGTTGCCATTGTGGAGCAGCGTTAATGAAGTAGAAGCTGGCTCTTTGACCGCTGGCATAAATAAAATCAGTTTTAGCAGCTAGATGACCACGAGATAAGTATTGTCGGTTTGTTAAGTATTTGTTAGCCAGTTCGTTTCCAACGAGGTCCGCAATCGTACGTTTTTGTTGCTCTTGTTTGTACAAGTCATTTACAGGTACTCCAGGGTAGAAGGTCCCAGCTAGGAAAAAAAAAGTAATAAGAGTTAGTTTGTTGCTCCTTCAAAATTTTCTAAGAGTTACACTAAATTTTATTCACTGAGTCTTCGAGTGAAAAAAATTACGGTCACTATCAATCAGGGTACACAAAATCTTGAAATCAAAAAAAATTCCAATCTTGTCACTAACCTGCAAAATTCGGTCGGTTGACACCAGTTTGGTATACCGCATTAGGAGGGTTTTGTTCGTACCAGACGTAGAGAACTTCGAGGCGACGTTCATCGAAGCAAGACCAGTATAGGGGATAGAATATTCCTTCTACTGTGAAACCAACCCTAAAAGATGGTACAAGGTGACATTAACATTTTCACATGATCGGAATTGGTTTTAACTGAAAAAGTCTTAATCGGAGACGGAGCATGATATTTTCTTTATTTTAATCTATTCATGGGATGGAAAACTATAGGCGTATGCCTGCGAGCTGCGAGTAAACAAAGGATTACAATTCGATGTTACTAATAAGCGATCGACATTAATTACCTAATTGAACATCAATATAATGTTGAAATTCGAAAAAATATATTGTACAGTGAACTTGTATACAGACCTAATAACAAGATTGTTGTTATAACAAGTCTCATTAGTGGCTAAAGCCTCGTGAGTTGGATTTGATGAGCAAGTTAGTCCACTAAACGCTCCGATACCATTCAGCCAACCGGCTCCAGCCACTAGATCATTGTTTACACACACAGCTGTCTGAAATAAGCAATTAGCCAATAGAACTCATCGAATCGTGGAGTAATTGATTGGTCAATTTCATTTCATTTTCATTTGAGTCCCGTCAGCAGTTTGTCTAGTTATCTAAATAAAAAATCAGCAATTTATCAAAAACGAAAAAGAATTTGGGTTGTGTTAACATTGGTTACATTTTCTCGTTTTGTGGATTGTAAATAATTGAATGGAAGTTGATTAATTAAGATACACCTAAAAGGGCCCACACAAATACAGAAAAATATGCCCATTTAGAAACACTCATAACAACAACTCTCGATTGGTTCTCTTTGTCTAAGGGTTGGTAAATGCCGAACACAAAGTCTTGTGATTAAACAAACTTGTGTGTTGAAATAGTACTACTGAGTTTATGGATCTGTAGACAGAAGTAGAACACCAAAGACTGTACTTACGGCTGTAGCTACTGATGCAGTTATATTTGGATGTACGATGGAGCGTTTGGACCCTGGACATGCAATGGTAACCTGTTCTCCAGAATATAGGTTTATCTTCCCGGTAGCTCCAGTAGGAGTCAGATAAGTGTTGTTGTTTAGATATATAGGTTGCGGATGTCCGAGGTCCTTATTCACATCCAACGTGCAACCTATAAACATTTTCAGTTTTCAGTAAAACGTTAGCAGGGCATCAATGAAAAATCAAGGTAATGAAGTGAAACGGTGCCTCCGAATTTGGAATAACTATTTCATTTTCTATTAAGGGGAGCAGTAGAAGAAACCATCTAAATATCTTAGTATCTACCTAAACTATGCATTTCAGTTTACCAACCGCAATAATATGCCAAAAATAATAAAATTAAACAATAAAATAAATAACATCTCACCGCTTTGGGACCTTAAAAAAATTGTTGAGAGTCGATTAGCTTCTGTCTTGAGTTCGAGCCAGGAATCCAGATAATCTTCAAAGTCATTTTCACTCAGGACGAATGCAAGATCACTAGGATCTGGAATCTCTTTGGATAGAGCCGTTACTGCAACTAATGTTACAACTAGTGCAACTAATAATCGCGCCATTTTTAGCCGACATTCGAGTCGTAAAGCAAATATATATGGGCTTGTCGAAAAGATATTATTTTTTAGTTTGGTATCAACCGTTCATTTGTAGTAGATAACTTGTTATATCAGACACATCACCACAAATTCAGGAAAACACGTCATTATGATTTCGTACAAACAATCGTAAAAAGGATTTGAATCAAATATTTTTCAGTACGTAGCGTAAGTCACGGGTAATCGAATTTATTGAGGAAACATGAGAAACTGTTACTGATTAACTTGAAACACAGGATTCGTTATGAAAATTAAATTAAGTTATAATTGCTTTCGTTTCGGATATTTATTAATACAATTGCATGTGAGAAACTGCGTGCATTTCAAGAGATTTCACTATATGGAACAAATATTTCAGAATGCGTGTCGTCAGCTGTGGCGTGGCTCGGTATATATCAGATGATTGTTTGAAAAGATAAATGCAATATATACTGTTCTACTTATTATATAAAGGTATTGATAGAATCATTCATTGTTATCCACTTCTGCTGGTTCACGTTTTCTTGCAAAAAATCTTTTACCGTTGAAATATTAGAATATTATGCATATTTACCTAATTAAGTAGGTACACCTTTCGTTGGCATTAACCAAAACATTGATTGTATCGATTGGGTTTTTCTAACACACAATCAGCGTGATTAAATATTTCGATTTTATCATCGATATTTATCTTCATCGTGATAGTTACGAACAGATAACACTCACTATTGTGAATAAGTATGGATACGTATGAGAACAGTAAATATTTCCTGAAAAAAATTGGTTAAAGTTAACGGATCTGTTATAACATTGCACATAACGATAAGTAAGTGTTATCCAAACTTGATATAGATATGCTTAGATAGTTAGAAGTAAATATCATTTTCAAATATATATACCTTCTTGGTTTTCTTTATTGCGATTTATAATGTACAAAAGATAGCAAAAAAGAACTACAATGGCACTGTATAACAAGGGCACGGAATCACGGACAAGAGTCCGTGGAGATTTAACTACTAAGTAAACCTAAGTAATACATATAAAAAATATGCAAAAGATATCCAAATATCAATCTACATTAAAATATTATGGAAATTCTATTCTTTCCTTATTGATATCTCGGAACTCCTTTATTCCTTAGAGAGAACGTAAAGCCGATCCGAGATCCCGTAACAAAGTCGGATTAACCCAGTAGCGAGAGTAGCAATAGCTACGGGTCTCGCGCCAAAGAAGATCCGTACTACTAAACTCACCTTTTGCTTTAAAGTGTCTATTTTTTTAGTGACTTATTTTTTAAATTATTATGTTTTCGGCTTACTCACGTAATAATTTGACGAGGAACTCGACTAGTTTCAAGCCATCCTAGAGGCTCATATTCATGAGCAGCATTTCGCATTTTATTTTATGACTTATTTTTTATAAGTTTGCACGAGAGGCGTTTATTTGGGTCTCATATACCTAAACTAAATTTAGTTGTCACATCTCCAATCCCAAGTACCATTATACATGCGAAAGTAAGTTTATTATTTCGTCTGTCACTTCTTTATACTTTATCTACCTACTTGAACAAACTTCTTTTAATGTAGAGGTAATTGTCTCATTGGGAGTATAGAGACGGACATACTTTTCACTGCGGGAAAAAGCTACGGCAAGCTACAGTCAAAAAATACATTCAATCTGTTTAAGTCTGATGCGGAAATAGCCTCAAAGAAAGTAAGTTTAATAACATTTACTGAACTGTTTACTTAAGATATAAAGATAACAATATCTCGGAGACTTGGGAAAGTATCTCACCTGTCACGTACACGAAATTGATCTCAAGCAACTTCTGTCGCAGAGTTTTGAAGATAAATAATTACCTTCCCAAGTTAAATGAGAGCCTTCGTCTTAGTAAATGGTGCAATCAATGAAGTTTCTGATTGTATCCACGTGAAGATAATGGTCCTGAAGATTGTTTGACGTTTATTTACGTTTAATTCGTCGATGCAGGTAACTTTAATAGGTTCATTGGGCTCCTATTTTGCATGTGCAAGGAACTTATTGCAGTATACCTACATATATTTTGATGATATCTTAAGGTAATCTTAAGAGATCTTAAGGTAATGTACTTTTCTTTTTCTTAAAAAGGACAAGTCTTGTTTTATTTACCTCTATCGATAAATTACATAATCTATAGTAATTTAATTCGTTCGTTATAGGTATTGATAAGGTAATTTGATCAATGGCTGTACCATAACTACCAATTAGATGTTGATAATTTTTATCAACTAATTACAGGCAACATGCGCATTGTTGATCTTAGATTATGTCATACAACATTTAGGTATTACTTATGTAATTACAACATTTATTTCTTTTTATACCCGTTTAACTAAAGTTCAATTTTTGACAGTTGCCGCCTATAGCCCATAAATCGACACTAGCGCCATCTGCAAAGTGCAAAAACGTAACAATAACTAAAATTATTTAGTATCGATTTTTCAAGTACCACGTCCACCACTATACCTACTACTAGCATAGAAATAGATTCGAAAGATAATCTACAAATATTTTTGTTTAACTTTTATCGTACTTTCGCAATTTAGATGTCACCATTGTAGATAAGGGAACCCCCCTCTACCTGGCCACTATAATCTGTAGTCGATTGTAAAAGTTTGAAATTAATCGGATAAGCGGTGATTGTGTGAATCCTCTACAAACAAACAAGCGGAACTTTTCTTTGTATAATACCTAATACTAGCGGGTTACTGAAAGCTTGGCGCATTTTAAAGGTTCATGATAAAAATGGCACAATTAAAGTTTACATAATTACAGAGAATAAAATGGCATAGCACTTCTAATATGACCAGTTTTGTCTGCCGCTATTTGTAATTGCGACCCTGTTACTACATAAACCGTATTGACAATCTGTAAGTAAGTATAAACATAAAAACATAAAACTTGCTATCCTACTATCAAAGGATTCATATCCTATATTTGATATTCCCGTATTCGGTTTTACGAATTTTCGAGAAACGTTAGGTACTCAATTTTAAGTCGTACTCAAATATCGCGCCATTTCTGTCATTTTACAAAGAATTTGTAGAGATAGAACTATACTTAAGCACGACTTAAAATTGAGTAGCGTTTCAGTATTCCGAATTTTCAACCATCATTTACTTTTCGAATTTTCCCATAGTCAGTAAGCCTGTATTTCGAAATAAGAAATGTTCTAAGGTAAACATGATTAGTATTGTAAAACATTTCAAACCAGATGTAAATGATCTTACATATAATACAATTTATTCAGTACACAATAGGAGGTCTCTAGTAGACATAACAAAGCAAAATTATTACAATAGGAACATACATACGTGTACACTGGTAGGTTGAACAATATAAATAGGACTTATAATGTTGTATTGTAGATACGCATTTGTTAAAGGTAGATGATTCCTTTACCGACGTAAATAATTCCTGATGACGTCATTATTTACAATAAGTTAATAGGATCTAGAAAATAGGTGTCTGTTGTACCCATGGTCATTAAAATACTGTGTATTTTTAATGTTAACGAACCCGTGGGCTATAGCTAGTAGATCTTAAGTCTAAGTAAAAAGAACTAGAAATTCAAGTCTATATTTTTTTCTAGACATTTTGCGGAGATTTAGATAGCTAGGTAAGACATTTTTTGCGACTATTCAGTAAATTTTATATGACAGGCGTCGTCGGTCGCAAATAGGTAAACGTCACAAGGTCGTCAGTATTTATATTTTTTATTTTTTTGTACAATTTTTGAACAGAAATTTAATGGACGCAGCCATTGTTGAGGATGGAAAGTGAATAGAAGCTACACATCGTGTGACAACAAAAGAGCCTGACTGCTATTTTGTTGAATGGGGCATGACGCAAGTTCTGCCAGTCACCTGTATGGTAGATATATTTTATTTTTCAATGCGGGAAAATCATCGAATGACTTCTCACGCATGGGTAAGGCGGGAGGAGTGTCAGACTCTTACTGACTAAACACCAAACGTTCCTACTCTTGCACATCGATTCGGAGCCCCGGCAACCCGTTAAGTCCTTCACGGCTCCGTATCGGCATCAGCCCTATTGGGTCCCATCCGTGATGGTCTGATGGCTCTTTGAAGCGCGCGCGGAACGCGACGCGTCTGTTTCTAGTCAGGCAGCGAGCTATCCACGCTCGCCGCACGGCGTCGGAAATTGCGAAACGATCTCCGACGCCGGGAGTGTTTTCGCGACGGCTGGGTTGTGAGGAGGCAGCCCTTTGCTGTCTCACGCACTCTGCCTCCTCCTTACCCTGTATGGTATATAAAAGATAGTACTTTGGTTACACTTTATTAAAGGTACTTACATAAATTAGTTTAATTCTTTCATTAATAAAATAAATAATATATATAATAATAATAACAGTTTTAACATTGCTTTGAAATGTCTGATTATTATGTCCTACACGTTTTTGCAAAAATAATCTGTTATTAAGATACGCTCTTGTGTAGTTACTGCGTTTGTACATACATCATACCCTCTTAAGGCTCGGAGTCGCGGAAACCTAACGGGTTACCGGGGCTCCGGCTCGAAGCGCAGGAGAAGGAACGGGGTGGTTTTTAGTCAGTAAGAGTCTGACACTCCCTCCCGCCTCACCCAGGCGGGAGCAGTCATTCGATGATTTTCCCCCCTTAAAAAAATACCTATTAAGGTCATCGCACACCTAACAAGTACGGCACAGGCATAGCTCTAACCCAGCAATATCAAATTGCATGTCGTATGACATATTACATAACGCCAATATAAAAAAGCTGTAAGCGCGCGGCCCGCGCGCCGTCGACGGCGCGCTCTTAACCTTTTTGTATCGTTTCCAAAGCAAAAAAGCTGTGCCGGAGCCGTGCTTAATCCTTGTTAGGTGTGCTATGACCTAAAGGATTAAGGAGATAATAGATATGTTTACTACACTAACATTGTACACAACCCTATTCAATGGTCTT